GAAGCTTTGTACATCGAACAATCTTAGAACTGATAATCATCAAACATATAACCATCTTTTACCTCATTTACCTGTCACATCAAACTAGCATGGATTTCGTAGGAAAACAAGAAATGCAAAATCAAGAGTATCAAACAGCAACTAAGAAGGAAAATTTGTAGATAATAATGATGTTACCATTCTTTTCAGTTCGCCATGATAGACTTGTACTACATGACAAATTTCATGAAAAATTAATACAGACTTGGTTTTAACACGAAATTATACACAATGGGTTTTCTTACATTTTATATGTTTTGGGCCCAACTTGCTCTAAAAAAAGTTGTCCAGAAGTTTGGTAAGACATAAAAGAGTTTCTACATCAGGCCCAATCCACTATACCTCTAACAAAGTAGGAAAAATGAAAATGTCATCCAAATAGACGCTATTGAAACATAAAACAGATAAGACTGTCAATTCGAGCAGAAAAGAAAGAGGTGTTTTGACTTTACATCTATACTAGTATAGAAGCCCACGCTGCGATGTGGGAGAGTTTTGTCGAAAGTAAAATAGTTTTATATTAGTGAACAACGATAGAAAAGAAAGATGAAGTTCGAAAAACATTATAACTGAAAACTAATAATACAACAACCGCTACACCTCCCGTTAAATGTAATTATATAAAGATATACTAATTAATAAGAACCTGCAATCTATTAATCCTTTACTCACCTCTACATTATATATTCCACCAAAAGTAGTTTCAACAATCCAATTATGGTCATCTCATCACACTCTTAATCACTATACATTGGCCAACTGCGATATGCAAAAGAATATGAGGAGAATTGAAGAATACACTTAAAAAATATTGCTCTTTATTTAGTTTGGAACACTGATTATATAAATAGAGAGAGAAACACGAGGGAGAACATATGGGGTGGAAATGAATAAAAAATATGTAAAAGAACGAAAAATATAAAGAATGAAGTAAAGTTTAAAGATTTAATAATTAATTAAAAAATAAATTCTCGATTTGACTCTAAGAAATAATATTCATACAAACTCCTCTTTTAATATCTTATTTTGTTGACCTTCAACGTGAGGTGGAAGAGATGAGGAAAGGAATAAATAAAAAATATGTAAAAAAAAGTGCAAAGAATGAAAACAAGTCTTCACGTTCTTCTTCTTTCATCGATCCATGACAACTTTTTCTTTGTTGACCGTCCTTCATCTTCTCCCCTCCTCTTCTTCTTGATTTCCCCCCTTCCTATTTGATAGACATGGTTGGAAATGAAGATGAATGAAAAAGATGAGAGGGAGAGAGAAAGGTTTTTCTTCGGGGGGAAATAGAGAAAGAGACAGAGAGCGTATAGAAAGGAATGTTGGGGGGGGGGGGGGGGGGGAGAATGAATAAAAAATATGTAGAAGAATGCAAAGAATTAAATCAAGTAAGCGATGTAATAAATAATTAAAATAGTCTAATAAACAATTCTCATACAAACCTCTCTCTCAGTATCTTAATTTGTTAACCTTTATCTTCTTCCCTCCTCCTTTTCTTGATTTTCCTCCTTGTTTAGTAGAGAATTTTGGAGAGGAAATTGAATGCAAGAGAGAGGGAGAAAGAAAGGGGTTGGGTAGTTCTTCTTGGGGGTAGAGAGAGGACAGAGAGCACGAACGTGAGGGAGAAATAAGAAATTAAAATATGTAAGAAAAAGAGAAAAATGCAAAGAATGAAATCTAGTCTTCACGTTCTTCTTCATTCATCGATCCACTCTTCTTCTTTTTTATCCTCGTCATACAAAAGAGAAAAGGAAAGAGAGAGAAGATTGAGAATGTGATATTTTGGTGTGGTAAATTCGTAGGCGGGGAGAGATGGATAGGAAAATGCTGGATTTTTTTTCCTTTGTTGACCTTCATCTTATTCCCTCATCTTCATCTTGATTTCCACTGTTCTTGTTTGGTAGCGAGGGTTGGAGAGGAAGATGAATGGAAGAGATGAGAGGGAGAAAGAAAGGAATTGGGTAGTTCTTCTTTGGAGGGAGCAAAGAGAGGGACAGAGAGCACAAAGAGAGGAACGTGAGGGAAAGAGATGGAGAAAATAATGAATAAAAAATGGCACTGCGTGTTTTTTCCCTTTATCATATCGCGTTCTCAGCGGTCCATGCAAGAGTCCATCTTAATCGAATCGCAGATCAACTAGGCTCTGATACCAAATAATAGATGTATGAACTATTTCTACAATAAACTAGAGAAAGAACTAATACCTTCAGGGTTTATTCATCCCATAATCCTAACAACATAAGCAAGATGAGATTTTCTTGACATTAAACTGATGGTGAACAAGCTAGTGAATGATGAGCGACAGAGGACAAACCGAGCAACTACTAGTCGATGGTTGACTGAGATATTGGATTGTGGTTGTGCCTTGTAGGAATTTAAGAATTATGGTATTGGATTGTGGTTGTGCCTTGTAGGAATTTTAGAATTTCGGTATGTGAAAAGAAGGGAATATGTTGGTGATAATTTGGGGGGTGAGGTCATATTAGAGTTTGGGATGGGTAATAAAAGACAGGCGAGGTTGGGTTTCTTGGTTTGATGTAAACTAAGACATTAGATACTTTTGAATATATAAATTAGATGTTTAACTATAAACATAAAATAGCTTGTAGCTTAACGGTGTAAATACTTTATAGATGAAGGAAGTTCGGCAGTTCAACAACCCCTCATCGCAGCATATCATAGAGATTTTTGTCGGTGTGTTGTAAAGCCAAGGTGGTGCAGCCGACCCATCTTGGCTAGTTGTGGCTCCGTCACTTATTATATAGACTATGATCTGAAACCCTAATCGACTAAAGATAATAAAATACAAAACTACAACTGACCCCTTTACCCGTTCATTCATCAGTTGACCACTGATCCAAATGAGGGTTGACCTATGGCTCAACCGTAGAAAAGTTTAGTTCCAACCATCATCATTCAATCCATCTCACCACGTAATTTCAAGGAAGGGAGAGTGATACCTCTACTTTTCTAGTGGTCGTTTCCGTGGGACAGAGTAGCCATTCTCATCTTCTTCTATAGTTGTGGCTTCAGTGGCTTAGAGTAGAGGAAGGTATGGGACAAAAGAGGCGTGACAAACTAGAGCAATGGAAAGTTCTTCAATAATCTATTCACGAAAGACTTGAGTCACTGGTACCCAAACCAGCACCCAACGACATAAGGAAATTAGAGGCTCGTTTGCTTGTTGTATTTGGAAATGAAGGTTTTGATTTTTGAAAACCTTTGGATTTATGATGGATTTGTTGCATTTTGTATTTGAAAGATAACATTGTTTGTTTAGTTGATTTTGATCATGGATTTAAAGGTTTTTGTACCATGGCTCACAAATCTTTGTCTTTCATGACCAAATACCAAATGAAATATGGTATTTGCAAATACGTGGGATCCACAGATTTGAAGCTAAAAAAAAGACCAAATCCTTGCCCCACGGATTTGTATACCTCAACAAACAATGTTTTTTTTGGCAAATACATAATGCTTGGAATTTGAGTGCCAAATACATCAATCAAATCCCACAAGCAAACGATACCTAGATCCTTAGAACTGAAAGTCAAAGACTCGCTCCTACATCTCAAACTCTCAAAGGATGTTATTCTTATTAGCTCATTTCATCCCAAAAAGACCTTCCCCAACCAACCATCCTCTAGCTTGAAGGATGATTGATGAACCACCTAGGGGAACCACCCCTTTCCCTTCGGTCGAGTATATTGCATTTCTTAAGAAAGACCATCAATTACGACGACTCCCGTCCGAGACAAATAAAGAATTGGCAGAAGGTCCCATCCTTGAATACCAGGTATGTGGCAACAAAGAAAGCAGCTAATTGGCTTCAGAAGAGAGCAAACACAACATCAATTTTAGAAGAACACGATGTAGATTTCAGGGGGAGGCGATTTCAAGGAACGATGAGATTGTTGCGAGGGAGAGGAGAAGGCAGGAGCGCAGCCTACATCAGAGGGAAGGAGTGAGAGTAGTATTTGATTGAGTTTCAAATTTAACAAATGCTTTAGTTTATAAATTGGAGCTAGGACGACAAACAGTAATTTTAAAAAGAGTGTAGACTTTTTTTTTTGTCATAGAAACCCTTGCGGATTAACTAGATAAGCACGAGATAGCCACAAAACAACGGCTTCTTCGTGAGTAGACAGTCAAATGAGGAAAGAACAGTTAAAACAAACACTACTAGTGCCAGAGTAGCATAAGGCATTACGTGCCACAACATGGGCAGCCCTATTCGCTTCTCTAGGAGTAAAAACAACAGAAACCAGCGGCATTTCTTGTAACATTAATATGACTTCTCGTAAGATAGCCCCCGCAAGAACATCGTTGGCATCAGAATCCGCCAAATGGTGAACAACAGCAAGAGCATCACTTGTGATCACGACCGGGCGATCCTGCTACTGCCATTGTCGAAGTAATAAAAGCGCTTCTCGAATTGCCAATACCTCCATAATTTTGGGATGAAAAAGACCAGGGAAGAAACCACCCCTTGCAAAAACTGGCACAAGATGATCAAAGCCAACCATACCGACGGCGCCATGAGTCGGAGCCCTGGTTGCCCCATCAACAGCAATTCGGAAACTAGAATGAAGCAACGAACGAGAATGAGGCCGGGGTCTGGTTGGTAACGGAGGCGATTGACAGGGAAGGACGGCAATTTGATGAGAGGCATGATGTGAAAGGAGTTGACGGTACAAGGCAGAAGTGGTAAATTGCGCATATGGTGCGAAAACAACATTGTTCCGCCCTTTCCAAAGTCGCCAAAAAAAGAGAACCCAAAGACTTAGACACTTAGTTAATCGTTAATTATATTCTTATAGTTCCTAATCACAATACCTACATAATTGAGGATAAACACCCCACGTGGAAGGTTGTAATTTGATGGCCGACCTACAGAAATACGAGCCTTCTTTTCTACAAATGCCGAAATTTTTTGTCCAAAATTCAATGTGTTCATAATTCGTAACCCTGTCGTTAAGCTTTCCTACGCGTAGGGGTGGGAAACGGTGCGGTTGCGGTTAACTGCACCGCAATTTGCGGTTAACTGCAACCGCAAAACACCCATATTGGCCAACCGCGACCGCGACCGCAACGGTTAGCGGTTAACCAAAAACCGCAGAAAGCGGTTAGCGGTGAACCGCGGTTTATGGTTGTGAAAACCGCAACAACCGAAACACCATATGAAACCGTAGTTAGCACTCTAACCGACAATTAACCGCGAACTAACCGCAAAAAAATCATGGAAAAAAAAACACAGCAGCTACTGTTTTGTCTATTTTCACTTCCATCAAGCCTCTACATCTGTCTGCATATCCAAATAACACAATCCACAAGCACAAATGCACAATGCCACAATCCTGCTGGCTGGGCTGGGGTCAATTATGGGCTGGGCTGGGGGTGAATTATGGGCTGGGTCTGGTTTCGCGGTTAGCTTTGCGATTATATGGATTTGCGGTTTCGGTTGCGGTTAAACCGCAAACCGCAAAACAGGCCATATCTCCAACCGCGACCGCAAAATAGGCCAAATATGCGGTTTGCGGTTAACCAATAACCGCGCGGTTTCGGTGCGGTTGTCGGTTTAACCGCAAACCGCCAACCGTTTTCCCAGCCCTACCTACGCGTTCGGCTTTCTCTCCCCTCTCACCAGTCATCATCACCGCCATTTTTCCTCCTCCAACTACCTTTGGCAACGCAGTACAGTTGAGACTCAATTATCCCTCCACTTTCTTTTCTCTGTCTTTTCTCTTACCAAGTTACTTCCCGGGTACATTTGCCGCGGGGAATCGGCAGATCTTGTCGACCCGTTTTTCAAATGCAAATCAACTGACCGCCGGGACAAGGAAAAAGGGTAGCCGGCGGCAGGGAAATTCTGTAACGATTATGGAGAACGGAACCGCCGCGGAGAACGGGACGGTGGATAACGCAGTCTGCTCGTCGGAATCGGCAGACGGAAGCCGGGATGTCTGGAGCTGCAACGAATCCGATTCTTCTTCTGCTGATCATCTCGTTGTTATGGTCCACGGTATACTCGGCAGGTTAGACGATTCGAGTTCTTATCTGGGTTTTTGGTGATCTCGTATTTTTTTTCTGCCCATCCATAGTTATGTTCAAACCAGTGTGCTTGATTATGCTCTTGGAGGATCAAGTCGGTTAATTCTGTTTGCTATTGTGATTCAGTAATTGAATGAATTTTTCCCCCGATCAACAAGAGTGTACGAATACTCCATCTTAAATGTTTGTACTGGTGAGGTTTTGAAATTTGGCTGATTCTGTCTCGTCATTGTGGCTTTTTCAGCTCCAATGACTGGAAGTATGGGGCTGAGCGGTTCGTTAGGAATCTGTCGGATAAAGTGTTTGTTCACTGTAAGTATCCTCCCCGCGTCTTCTGGGCGTGCGGGCACTTTTGGATCTGAGTTCAAAAGCAATGGAATTTCGGTTATGCCGGTTACCTTCACTGACGGGGTTGGCTTCTGACATCTTATAGGTAGTGAAAAGAACATGTATAGGCTGACTCTCGATGGGGTGGATGTGATGGGCGAACGGTTGGCTCAGGAGGTTCGTTTCGAATGGCTCTTGAAAAATGGTTTTCAGTTGATTGTTAAGCTTCTATATGTTCTTCATGGTCAAATGTTTGAGTTCCGGATTACCTGTCCTGAATGTGAACTGCAGGTCCTTGAAGTGATTCAAAGGAAACCGAATTTACGGAAGATTTCGTTTGTTGCACATTCAGTAGGAGGGCTAGTTGCAAGGTATGCTATTGGGAGATTGTATAGGGCCCCTAGAGAAGAAGATGCAGGGGGTCCAGATGCTAATCAGAATAAAGAAGAGTTGAGGGCCACGATAGGTGGCCTGGAGGCTGTCAATTTCATTACTGTTGCTACCCCTCACCTTGGTTCTAGGGGCAATAAGCAGGTAAAGCTTTAGTTTTCTCAGTCACTTATCTGTTGTTTGTTGAACTGAGAAATTTCCAATGGAACCTGGAAGAAATGTTTCCCAGCACTGATAAGGGGAGGAAAAATTGTTGCTGTTTTAGTTTAGCTAATGAAAACAAGGCAATGAAACTTTAATTCAATCGACTGGTGAGCTTAAATTGGCCAATGCTACTTGGTATCTTGGATACTTTTCGATGTTGTCGAAGTGACGTTTTACCTAGCACTGAGAGCCTGGTTAATGATCCATTGTCCTCCAGCTGTGACCCCTGTAGAGTTGAAGTTAGAAGAATCCCCTTTTGCAGAAATAGGATTCATCCTATAGATTGTGCAATCCATTGTATTTGATAGTCTCATCCAAGCCTGGGGTGGATGAATGAGAACTTTATATGCTCTACAAGTCGATGTAGAACTGGAATTTGAACTGAAGGTGCCATGTTTGAACGAGGGTCCTCTTTCGGTTTTATGCATTAGTCATGTCTAAACTTTTTTTGAAGTGTATAGCATCCTACAATTGATCTTCTTAACACAGAGTTGCTCGTCCATTTCATTCAAGGAAATATCGTATCTTGCAGGTACCATTTCTTTTTGGCTTAAATGCCTTGGAGAAGGTGGCAGGTCTTGTCATACATTGGATATTTAGGAGAACAGGTCAACATCTTTTTCTTGTAGACAATGATGAGGAGAAACCTCCATTACTTAAGCAGATGATAGAAGATTGTGGTGATCTTAATTTCATGTATACCACTCCTCTAACACTTCACTTATTTTGTATGATATTTGATTGTTCCTATTTTTGTCTTCAATTTGCCAAAAGATTGTAATATTCAATATGGTCACTCTTGATTTTTCAGGTCTGCATTGCGGACATTCAAACGTCGGGTGGTATATTCAAATGTCGGCTATGACCGTATCCTTTCTTATGCTGTTGGTTGATTATCATGATTAGGGAAAACTGTTATCCAGCAGCTTTTATTGGTTTCTTTGACGAGATTCAATGCAGACATTGTGGGGTGGAGAACATCTTCAATTAGGAGGAATAGCGAACTGCCAAAGGTAGTTGCGGTTACCATTGGCTATCATGTTTTGAGTTTGCTTCTTTTCTTGTGTGGTACCACTGATCATGTATAATTTTTTATGTCAGTGGGAGGATTGTTTAAATGAGAAATACCCACATGTGGTTTATGAAGAACATTGCAAGGCCTGTGGTGAAACTGATCTGGCTGAACCCTTTTCAACAGAAGATGATAAATTTGACAAGATAGAAGGTCTGTTGCGACCTCAATCTATTGATTATATTAGTGTATGATCTAGCAAGATATGATGATGACTGTTCATAACCAGGATGTCTTGCTTAAGTTATGGTTGATGCTTATCAAATCACAAGTTTCCTCTCTATTTGAGAAGTCTGCTAATTGCAACAACCTCTGTTTGCGCAGAGGAGTTAGTGGCGGGTTTGTCACGAGTGTCATGGGAAAAAATAGACGTTAGTTTCCACACGAGCAAACTGAGAATAGCTGCTCATAGTGTTATCCATGTAAGTATGCTCATCGCCTATTTATCCAGAAATCGGATAAGAACCGTCCCCATTTCTTAAGGGTCATCTTGAAAATGCTCCAAATTGTGAGAGTTGATTGTGAGATTAATTATGCAGGTGAAAGATGAGAGTTTGCACATAGAAGGAGCAGACGTGGTCCAGCACATGATAGACCATTTTGTACTGTAAGCGGATCCGCTAACTTTACTGTGAGACAGGGAACAGAAGGTGCTGTGAGTTGTGACCTTCCATCCCATATGCGCCATTGTATATTTTTATCTGGAAAAAAGTTCGACGCGAGTGCTTGCAGGTCGTCGTTCTGCCGGCTGAAGCTCGAGCGATGCTGAGAAGTAATGGGAATTTTTGTATGTTTGTTTACGAACTGATGTATTATAATTGTTATATATGTGCACAATAATGATATGAAATAAGTTGTTACCAATGTCCTGAGATTTATCTCCTATCTTCATCTCGTACCATATGAACTTGAACTCATGAACTAAATAAACCTTCTCCTATAATACATTCCAAAGATCTAGATTTTGCTACAACCACAGGCATTGTTGCATCTCTACAATTGCTAGCTTTTGGCATATCACTCAGGCCGGTGGCTTCTATTAATTGTTTAGAACGAAAACATAAAATTGCTACTACAAGATGTTACCAACAGTTAGTTTTTACAACAAAGCATGAGTCTTGGGCATTCTACTCTCGATTACAACAGGTGGTGGGAGTAATCCAACATACATAAACGTTTCGATGACAGCTACGACTGCTTTGGTTTCTCATTGATGCCTACATGGGTACTTTGCCATCATTCATCAGAGCTATATTCGCTGGATTCCGGCAACAAAGGCATTGCAGCACAACAAAACAAGTCTCTGTCCTTGAGCAGAAGGCAGCTTCCGTCGGAGTTCCATTTCAGATCAGTTATGGAGAACTGAGGGAGGGGATTACTCACACAGTATGCCCCAGCAGGGGACCATATGTACAAGTGAGAGCTACCTGTGCAGAGAACGAGACGAGTGCATGTCGGGTCCCATGCTGCAGCTCTTATTGGGTCCTTCTGCACCAAGATAGCAGCTAGCTCGAGGTGATGGATGTCCCATATCCAGAGTGTCGTCGGCATGCTGTCGTTTCGGGTATAGATATACTGGCTGTCGTTGCTCCATGACATGACACCTGAGCAAATTGCCAGTAAAGCTTGTGAAAAATGCAAGACATCTACGAGCAGATGATGTATTGCAGGCGAAAGAGGTGCTCACCGATTCCTTGCTTGGGATTTGGCTTGTCAGCCTGAGGCTTTTGGAAAGGCAGAGAAATAGGCACTTCCATAATCTCGTATCTAACTCTGTAGGGTTCTTCTGCAGCATCTTTTTGGGGAGGAGAAGGGACAAGTGAAGGAATCAACCTCAGTTGAAAAGCAATAGAAAAGCAGCAGTACAATAATCACATGCTCCTTAAATGTATAATGTCATCACAAGACTTATGCTTTACCAGAATTGCCTTGGAGAAATTCCTCGCTTAAGCTTAATTCAGACATGCCAAGATGCAAAGGCTCATCCACCTCCTAATGAATCAGGACAATATGTGTGAAAAATACTTGTGATTAAGTTAATTTCCCGTTTCACTTCTAAACAGAAAACTTCAAGCCAAATAACCAAATTACCTTGAAGACAGCAGCACAACAAGGAGCACGAACGGTAGAGAGATGCATAAATTCAGCAAATGTTTTCCAGGTAAGGTGATTTAGGACCCGCAACATTTGATCATAACTACCTACAGCTAAAAACTGGCCACAAGGAGACCAGGAAACACTTTTCACCCCTAGTCCACTCTCATATGCCTGATACTTGAACAGACACCGACCATCCGGGGAGTAGATGAGAACCTGCCAATCAAAACACAAGTTCTCACTCCATAAGTTTTCCACATGATCACCCTTCCCTCTTGTACATAAAGAGATTCTTTTTTCAATCTGCAATGTAACATGGCAACGTTAATGACAATATGAGCCCAGTACCTTATATTCAAGAGGAGAATCCCAGATCACTAAAGCACTATCATCAGGCGAGTATTCAATATCAGCCAAATCTACCGTATCCACAGCAAAAGTGCCCATTATCTCCCACGAATGACAAGACAGAAGATTGACATAGTCCTTGCAATCGCGCCTAGTACAGATAGCAGCAAATTTCCCATCTTTGGTGAAACAAACTCCCCTAGATCCATGCTTTGGCCACTGCACATGAACACAAGCTGTGTTCAGTAGCGACCACACCGTTAACCGCAGTTGAAACTCGGAGGTGGTAAGAATGTGGCGGCTATCCGGGCTCCATCTAGCATAAGCTATACCAGCCGGACCTTCATCTATCTTACATGTCCACTCTGGTTGGGTCAAGGACCATGCCTGAATCATAGGCCTTTTGTACAACCCGCAGAGAATGTACTCAGAATCAAGAGCCCATTCTATGAAACTGATCTTATCCAAGCACGAAAACAACTGCACAACCTGCATCCAGAGAATAAAATGCAGGCAACTCCCAATTACTGTGCTTGCCAATTTTGACTGGCCAATTTTGCAACCAGCTGGAAAATCTCAAGATCACATCACGAAAATTCAAAAAACAGTCATAATTCCTTACTGACTCTCCCAATTTTGCCACATTTCCACCCCCTAGTTCGTTCAATTCAAGTTAAAGCATCATATTTCAAATTTCTCACAGAACGAGCTCCGATTGTGATTTCTGAAGAGCAGCGCATACCTTGAACGAGAAGGTGTCCCGAATCACAAGCCGGTAATCGACGGCGGCGGCGACGTATCTGGAGTTGGGAGAGAAGCAGCACGGACCGGTTTGCTTGTAAGCGTCGGTAAACTCCATTTCTACCCTCTTCAATCAGAAGTTCTAGAGAGGGAGAGAGAGAGAGAGGGGGGAAACGAATCAAATCAATCCCAACTCAGCAGCTAAGCTCACCATTCTCCGACAAACGGAGATCAGGCGACGACAATGCCAAGGCTTTCGACGACGATGATGTAGATTTGATCGGACCGGGAAGGGAAGAAAGCAAGAAGAGAGACTGAGCAACGACTGGTTTTTTTTGACTGCTGCAGATTTGCCACGGCGAGTCAAAAAAGCTGGTCCATCTTTTCGAGCCGGGTCAAGTTATTAAAACTTCAACCGGTTCGGGTTTGGGCCTGGGTTTATGCACTTATGTTTTCAAGCCCAAAGCAATTTGATGGTTTATTAGATTCTTCAACGTCGTCGTTTTGTTTGCTTCTCAGGAAGACGGGAAATGCTTCTAACCACCGCCAAGGCGCCAACTGATAAACCCTAAATTTAGTTTCTCTGAAGTGGAGGCAGGCTGGTTTCAAAACCCTACACGCTTGAAGCTGAGGGTCTTTGGTTCTCTGGGCAGACATTCGCTAGGAGTTCTGAAGTCCGAAGCTTTTGAAGTTTTGTGGGAAATTTTGACCTAAGGGGATTCCCGAGATTTCTTCGTTTTTCTTGCGACTGAAAAGCAGAAAGGAAGCGATGGCAACAAGTCTCAATGCTCAGTTGCGGGTAATCAAGTCCGTCGCACAAGTTTCTGATTCCGATTCCCGGAAGAGACCCATTACTCGGCCTTCCATTCTTTATGACGCTCAAAAAGCTGCTGACATTGATATTGATACGATATACGAGAACGCAGTTACAGGTTAGTAGATTGTTTGTCTCGCTGTTGAGTCTATTGGTTCCATTGTGAATATGTCTTTCGTTTGTAATACATGTTGGAAAATTTTCTGTTAATTTGTCCCAAGTAATGGAGTTGTGGCCCTTCATTTTGATATCATTTGGTAACCAAATTGGGCGCTATCTCGGTTATTGATTTTCAGGTCTCGAAGGGCTTGTATATGTCGACGAGCGGTTTAGAAACTATAGGAACGACTTGTTTAGCATTAAAAGCAAAGAGTTGGACAGAGAACAGATGAATGAAGAGGAAAACAAGAACCTCAATTCATCCATCGCTTCATATTTACGCTTGCTCTCGGGACATCTCGAACTGGAAGTTGCCCGTAAGACGCTCGAGTACTTGATTCGCAGATACAAGTAAACATTTCGCCAATTCTTCCTGCAATTCCCGTGTTCTGATAATTGTTGGTGAAGGTTCTTAGATTTCTCTAGTTCTAATTTCTGGTGTTGGGTATGTTTGAAAATTCAGGATTTATGTGCACAACACAGAGGATCTGATTTTATGTGCTTTGCCATATCATGACACCCTTTGGTTTGTTAAACTGATTCAGTTGGTTGAAACAAGGTGAAGAAAGACACCCCTCCCCATTTTTCTGACTATTGAAATGGCATGGCTGTGTATTGATTACCGTTCTTTTTTTTTATTCTTTCTTCCTGGTTTTCGTTGTAGAGATGGTAAATGGAAGTTTCTGGAAGGTGTTCAAAAATCTGGCGCTCGTCTACCTAGAAGCTTCCTTGTGCAGCAATGTTTGTGTGATCTAGGAGTACTGGAGACCATATGTATCTATGTGAGTGTTCCAGTCTCATTGAGTGATTTGTCCACTATCTTGTTATGAAGTTGTTGTATACTGATACAATGTTCTGTAGGCGTGTTCTTCAAAAAATCCTGCAAAGCCTGTAATCTGCTTTTGCACAGCATTGGTTATTGAAGCTTTGGGTTCCTCAACAGGCATCAATAACGATGTTGTTAAGAGAATCCTTCGGTTTGTTGATTCTGGACTTCAGGCTGGTGGCAATGTGCTGTCTGATCACAAGGTAAGTTTCACGTAGATGTTTTTAAGTCCAAAAACAATTGCATGGAGGCTATTATTTTCAAATTATTTTATTTGATTTCAATTTTCAAAATGTGAATGTTCCTCCTCCGTGCAGGCTGGTTCCTTGATGATTGTTGGTCTGCTAGCCAGTAAAGTTGCTTTATCTCCTAAACTTGTTAATAAATGGCTGCGGACAATTGCTGGAATAGCTCAGCAAGATGCCATGGAGCCTACTGAACTGCAGTGGGTGCGCTTGTCCATGTTGACTTTAATTAGCCTTGTGCAGGTACTATCTTATCTTTGCTTTCATGTTGACCTTAGCTACTTATGCTTTTGCTTTCATGTAATGTATATGTCTGTATGTATGGTTTTCTATCTTTTCCTTACTCCTACTTTAAATGACCCAAGAAAAGTTGCTTATTCTTGTGTTGCTTATAAAGAATATGCCTAATTATTTGTTGAACTGATTTGAGAAACTGGTTGCTAGCCGAACCTGTTGACATGAAATGAAACTGTGGTGAGCTTTTTTTGGGTTACACTATTTGCTTAGGCTAGTTGTTAGCTAGTGGATGTCCTTTTTTCTTTTTCTTTTTTATGGAATGGATTCTATCTGTTGTGATTTGTGACAGGACGTTTGTGTTTTTGAGAATTACAACATTAATAATAACTATCTGTTTGATGTGTCTTTGTTTCTGACTGTTCTCCATAAATATTCTATAGACGCAGGCCATTGAAATGATCCCAAGGAATACATTGCAGATCTTGAAGGAAACTAGGTAGCCTTTTTTTCTTCACATATTTGAATGATTTGAATGTTACCGGTTTGATCACTTGTATCCATGGTTTGTTTTTGAAGGGATATGCATGTGATTCTTGTGGAACTGTCTAAGGAGTGTAACATAGACAGGTTCCTTGACCTGCTTTTGGATTCTCTGATTGAGTGCAGGTGTGAACTGGACTAGTACCTTGTTATTTCTACCATATAAATATTTCGCCTTGTGCTGACTCGTTCTCTTTTATCTTTCTAGCTTACATGATGAGTCATATCATCATGCTTTAGCATTCATAATAGAGAAAGTCCCTATAAAGAAGTTTATCAATCGTATGGTCTTGAGGATTCTTTCACGTTGCCTGAAAGTTTCTGAAAGGAATGTTGGCACAGAAGCATCTGATGCAGGTGAGATATTACATCACTTAAAAATTTATAAGCTACACCCATCATGCTGGTAAATTTTCATCAGGTATCCCACAATTAAGGTTGCTCGTCACAAGGCTTCTGGTTATTTTTTTCAAAACTTGAAGTAGTGTATTAATGATAGCCTTAAAGGGGCGAGGGTCATGAGAAAAGGTGACATAGAAAAGCTACATTGGGATGATTAGTTTTGAGGTAAATACACTGTCTTAAGCTGTGGTTGATATGAGAGAACATTATAGGTGGGGTAATTTTGTGGGTTGGGTAATTTCATGTTGCCATGTATTGTGGGTAGGGTCAGAAGTCAAGCTGGCAGAATATGTAACGTTGACCTATGGGTTGTGGAGTGCCGTGGATCATATTGTTGTCAGACAGGTCATCTGTCATCTTGGATCACAGATTTCTTGGACTGGGTTGGGTGATTTTTGCTTAACTGGTCATTTCGTTTGATGTTTGTCAATGAATTTAGTATGATTCCTGGTCATCAGTCTTTTTGAGCCAGTTGGGTCATTAATTCTCACCTCTTGATAACTATGTTCTCGGGGGTAATGTTATTAATGCGTCTATTGTTCTTTTGTTATTATGAGGCATACTTTTTTGTTCTATATAATTTCTTTGCTCATCTTGTAGAATCGGCGAACTCATTTTAGGCAAATGGTTCATTATGTGATTGGGGAACTATAATTTTTGATATATCCATCTCACATTTAATCTATTGTTGCTTTCTCTGATTCTGCATTTTCAGGGGGCTGGGCAAACAAAGTTCTCATGGTTATTCATAAGAACTATCCAGTTGAGTTTCAGCAAGCTGTTCGCATGTTTTTGGAGGTCTGTCCACTTTCCTTACCATCACCAAGAAGAAAAAAAAACCTTCTTCCTTTTATGTTATTCACAGCTGCTACCTTTTCAGGATGGTAAAGTACAAGACAAGAAAAATGACACAGTTCTTGAGATTTTAAATAAAATATTAGAAGGAAATTTGGATCTGCCAGCAGCTCTCTCAGAATCGAAAATCTTGTTCGGTTTGCAGCATCCCAAGGTATAGTTCTGTGTTGTATACGAAAACCTTTTATGCGTCACGAGTTTTCTTTTACCATTTTACCAATATTTTCATGTTTCTGACATGTTCAGGCTGCTGTGCGACGTGCTACATTGTCTAATTTAGGCTCGGCTGGAATTTTGAAAGTTGAGGGCGCTGATTTGCAGGTACCGTGTTATTTGATGATCTGTGATGCTTCTTATCCACTATGTCATGTGAAAACCGATTTCCCTCCTGTTAGTTCAGCGTACAATGTCAAGAAATAATTCTTATCTGCCTGTACTATGTTAGACATTTAGCTTTTTTGTTAGTCCATGTACTGCTTATTTATGTGTTACTCTTGCTGGAACAATGCATACTCATGCGGTGGCACCTTGTTTTATTTTGTAGTTAATTTATGTTCTTGTTTTGAGTCTCATGTATGGTTTTGTTTTCTGTTGGCCTTCTATCCAGAGGCTTGTTAACATTAAGGATGCTATATTTCGCCAGCTTCATGATGATGACCTTACTGTAGTTCAAGCAGCTTTGTCTATTGAGGGGTTGCCTGAGTTGCTTAGTTCTGCTGATATTCTCAAAGCCCTAGATCATGTGCTCAAAAGATGTGTTAGGTCCCTGAAGTCTGGTGAGTATTGTGGATGCTTTCCATGGTTTGCATCTCTTTAGTTACTACACAGTCAAACACTGTTGTGCTCATACTCAAATAACAGAAAAAATGCTTAAACTGAGAAGTTGCATAATGTTTTGTTGGAGTATGATGCATCTTATTGTTTACATATTGTGGTTTCTGTTCGCAGGTGCAGCAGATGATAACACCTTGGCTTGTGATGTTGCGTGTTCATTCATAAAAAAAGCCATATCTAGCTTCCATGATCAGATAAAGAATTTAGAGGAACTTGCTTCACTATTATTCCCTTTGCTTTTGATATCGCCCAAGGTTGGTTTCGTATGGCTTCTTTAATTTCATAGTGCCTCATAGTATCTCGGTCTCATTCTTGTGCCATTGGTACAGCCTGGTTCCATTATCCTTTGTTTGCTCATTAAAATTTCATCTTGGTGATGCAGACACAAACGCTGAATTTAAGGGTCCTGAGATTAGCAAAGGAAGTTGAATGGCCTTTTTATCATAATATTCCGTATATTGATTCTAAAGAGGTGGTAAGATTTTTGGCGTTCAACCCCTTCTGGTCGGTTGCTTTCACTATGTTTTTTGGTTATCTTTTGGAATATGCTGATTTTGTGAACTCATCTGTAATCATCTTTTGTTATTGAGCCTTGTGAGGGGTTAGACAGTTGAATAGTTAATTCTGCATTTGCAAATCCATTACCTTGCATTTTGGTGTGTTAACATGCAAACATAACCATTAGAGACATCAGTGATTGGGAACATAGCTTGGATTCCAAGGTTGTGGATCAATTTTTGTGAATGTATTGCTGCTATACTACTGGCCTCATTCTTTCTAGTGCCATTTTTTTTAACTGCAAACGAAGGATAAATATGCATGTGATGTAACTAGAATCCATAGGAACAAGTAGCTTAATCTCTTTAGATGATAATCTTACAGTAGTGGGATTATTTTTTGAGAAGCTATTGGCTGTGTTTGTTTCATCTTATAAAAAATTGAGTTAAAGAAAGGGAATTAGTGTAAAACCAACGGTTCACTCAAACCCACAAGTCATTGAAATCTCAAAGTCACCCCAAGTGAAGAAGTTCATTTCCTACTTTGGTTCTTGCAAATTTCTTGTTAAAAAAGTAATACCCCTATTGCTCATTTCCTAAAATCCGTTCTTTTTGTTATTATTAAACAAATTATCTGCCATCGCATCAATGACTTTTTTTAGTACTAAATAGTATTTCCCATGCCTTAAGCACAATCTTTTCTGAATTTGTATCTGACATGTGGTCTTTACTTTTTCTACAACTACTAAAAAAGTCAAATTTTCTGTAGCCAAATCTAATACAAACACATCCTTTAAGTTCTTCTGTTTATATGTTGTGACTCTTTTTTTTTTGACAGTATGTTGTGACTCAAAATTGATCATTTTGGCTTGATCTATGATTGAGTCCTCATGCTTCATTACATGCCTCTGTGGAGCATTTAGTGGATTACAATATCAGTGGAGAATTTAGCTTCCTTCTTCGTTTCATGTTTTATCTGGTTTGATTACCGGGGCTATGAGTTTGACCCTGTATCCTTGAAAAATTGCAGAAACTGGAACGTGAGAGCATATCATCTCTTAATTTGAAGATTGTTAGCAACTTGGGTGAAGCTATTTCAAGCAATAATACTAAATATATGCCATGGGTTATTAGAAACTGCAAGAACTCAGATAATTCAAGGACATTGTCCTTCTTGATTGTGATGGAGGCACTTCTGAAGCCAAAAACTGGTATGGGTATGTGAATCTGTCTCCCTTATGCACACTATCAATACTGTTGTAATGTATTACAAAGGAGCTTCTTGAATCAAAGGGTGTTTACTGTGTGATCTGAATTTTCCATGCTTTTGTTACTGATTCAACCTTAATGTCTGGTTCTTTTCTTACACTATTTTCTTTTGGTTCAAGCATGACATGTAGCAGAACTGTCATTGCCTGTTATTGTGAAACAAGATGTGTCAGACAAGCTGATAAGGGTCTATTCATTGTTTTTTTCGTTCAATTTAGAAATTGAGGATTTCTCAGCAATGTTTGAAGCTTGCTTATCTTTTCTGAGGGCTGAATGGATGGTGTTGGAGGCCAGTGGTTCCCTTCTTGAGGTTGGTTGTCGTAGTTTCACTATTGACTTCCGGGTTTTCTGATAATATTTGTCCTCTAATCTTTCTTCTCTTTGTTGTGGCTTTGTTCTTGGTAACAGTTTAATGAAGAAATGCTATATTGGGATGGTAGAATGTTCCTTGATCAACTGTTTTCCATTGGTGTCGAGGAACTAAATACAAAGATTCTGATTTCTCTCTTCTGGAGAATATTAGATGCACTTATATCTGTGTCTTCATTGGATATTTTGTCGGTATGCGAATCTTTCCATTCTTCGTCTTATTTTCTCCTGTCAACTATTTTCTGTAGTGCTAAAAGTAAGAAGTGGATCCTGTGCAGGGTGACAACAGGGATGACTTGAATAGGAAATTTAAGAACCTGTTTGTATTTTTTGCAACGACTGCGGCTAAAGATGTTTTTAAGAAACATCTTTGCCACCTTGTTACAAATTGCAAGACATCTCCTATTGATTTTCTGTCTGGGTTCTTGACAGAAGAAGGTAATTGGTTTTGCCTTTTTCTTCGTCTCGTTTTTGAGTCCGTTGTCCCTGTTACTTGATTTTATGGGTGCACAAGATCTCTGTATCAGGCTTTAATGAATGGAGTTCAAAGAATAGCCTTCTGGGTGTCATACGTGTTGTGGACCCCAACTTGATGTGCTTTGTTCTGGAATTTTGTGCTTGGAACTCATGTTTATATTGAGATTGCTTCTCTTTATTCTAGTTCTTTTTATTTTTGTATCTTACATATTACAGCCCTTGCTTGATCCTGGGTGCTTTTTAGGTACTGTGTTAGTGTTTCCAACTGATCTTATGGTAAAAAAAGACTGGTTGTTACTCATCCTAGTTTCTGTTGTTTGATGTTTTGCATGGATCAGTAGTTGATACTTAGATGTCTACTTTAGCCAATTATTGGTACGCTGAAATTATCTAGAAAGTCTTTCTGCAAGAAAGCAAAATGCCACATTATTCCTTGGTGCACGTTGTGGCTTAGGAATTCTACTTGGCAATCTGAACTTAAAAGAAGCCCGATCTATCATTTTGATTGAGGGTGCTGGTAGTTTGGTAGCTGCATATAGTGCCAAAAGTCATTTTAGGTTTCCGGTTTGCTTATAATGGTGTAAGGTATAAGATACCCTATTCTTCTACCTTCCCAACCATATAATAAAGGCTTGCTTGTGTGACCCATATGTTCTGGTTTGTAAGCATTGGGACAATTGATATCTCTGTCTAGCCTTCTGCTGTGTGGTATAATTTTGGTAATTAGTAATTTATAGCACGACTTGATTGTTCTGATATTGCATATGTAATCTTGCAGATGTTCCTCTTTCCGCTCAGTTGGAGAGTCTCCATTGCTTTTCACTTCTTTGTGCTAAGCAGGATGATGGGTTGCCGTTGCAACTCCTGACAAACTCCCCCCTGCCCCTTGTTTCACTTTCTTCAGGAAACCAGGTTCGATGGGGAGATTTTTTTTGTACATGGCAAATCAATTAGCAGACCTTTTTTAATGTAATGGATTAACGTTATTTGCTTATATACTTTCACGTGGTCTCAGGATTTAAGAATTGCTGCCATGGCCTGCATTGAAGCATTGTCTGCTCTGTCTCGTCGTGTTGACTTCTTAAGCAAGAAAAATGGTACGAATATTGTAGTTATGTTGATGCATCTCAAATTTAGTGATTTCGAATTTCTACTGATACATCCTAAATGTTTTTTTATGGCAGGGAACAATTCCAATTGGATTAAGTTTGTTGAACTTTTGGACCTCATTGTCCAGCAGAAAAGGCTCATATTGTCGGATAAAAACTTCTTGCCATCATTCTTTACTTCATTGCTTGGATCATCTTCTGGTGGTCTTCTAGTCCCACAAAATGTTGAGCACAGGTATTATTTGATAAGTTGGTTCTTTTCCCATTTTCTTGTGTGTATTACTGGTAACTGATAACCGGTACATATATGGTTTGAATTTTGCAATTTGCCAATGAGCAAAGTTACGCTTGTGTGTCCATGTCCTGACGGCTGTCCTATTATTATTATATTGTGTGAGAAACTGTAAAAAAAAAAAAACCGTTTTGTGCATGTGGCAAATTTTTTCTTTTCTGCTGAATATGTTTTGAAGTATTGATCTCTAAGTTTCAACGTTTGTTTGTTTTACTTGCTCATTCCAGATTTAGTCAATCAACAAAAGGGAAGATTCTTGCCTTTATACTGGGCTATGGCCTTAAGCTACCGACATATGGCAAGGTTTTACCCTGATCATTGCCCAATTTTTCCAGCACTATGCTATGCTTATTGATCTTGTGCATGGGGAGTAATAGGATTGCAAAACAGTTTTCCTTTGTTTTTTCCCCAGTGTCAATAGTACATCTAAATCAATCTGATGTTTTGACAGGTGATGATTTTGTCTTTGCTCAAAGGTCTGGGCAGTAAGATAATACAGATTAGAGATTCTGAGGAATTGTTGTCTCAACTTCTGAAGAGACGCAGACAATATTATCTAGAGGGGAACCAGTCCTGCCAGAACTTTTGCGAAAGTGAACTTAAGATCTTATGCCTTCTGCTGGAGGTGAATTGGAAAATGGATACACTCCTTGCATGTGAATCTATATTCATCTTGATACTCCTGCATTTACTGATCCAATTTATGTCATTAGATTTCTGCCACTGGAGCTACATCAAACAAGAGTCATCATTGTGAAGATTATTTGTTGAGTGCTTTGCGGGTAACAAGCAATCTCATCTTATACTGGCAGTGGCTTTCTAATACACGTTTGTCCCATGTCTGAATAAACATTTCTTCTTATTCCAGTTAGATGGAAGCTCTTCAGAGGAAGCTGCAGTTCTACAACCTTGTATCACTGTTTTGGACAGTATAGATTCCCAATTTTACTCTGGCTTAACATCTGAGAAACAGGTAACTCCTGCAAAACACATGCAATTCATAACGGTTTATGTACTTTGGTGGCTGGTGTATTCCACTTGGACCAGTGTCTGCCAGGTTTTAAACAACTGGTATCCAAATCTACATCTTTCTTATTTGATATATGGCCAAGGAATGTGTTTGAGTATACCCTGGTTATTTATTTCTGGATTGTCTGATTATATGTTTCTTATGTTTGCACAGGAGCTTCTGTTCCGTGAGCTTTTGTTGTTGTTTAGACATACCGATGGCAGGGTACAAAATGCAAGCAGAGAGGCTTTGCTGCGGTTAAAAGTTTGTTCTCTGTCTTAACTTATTATTCAATTCTTTCCCTTGCTTGGATTATATCCCAGTAATTAATATTTTCCATAAGAGGAAAATATTCTTTTGATGATACATATTTGAGGACTATTGAGGCAAGTTGACTATTTTGGCACAAAGAAAATACTTACATAGGGATGTTTAATGTGTTTTACTGTGTGAACTATCAAATATGTGATCAGTTGAAGTGACAATGATATCCGTCAGAGAGATGATTGTTGTTCTTGTTTTTTGACTGCCACAGATTGCATACTCTACAGTGGCCCTGACACTTAATTTCATCCAGAAGCGGGGAGGTACAAAAACTGGTTCATCATCTGCGAAGAAAAAAAAGAGGGAAGCAACGCCACACCAAGCTCCGGACTCAGATCGTTATCTCCTTTGTAACGAGGAAACCTTGTTAGCTTCACTAAGCTCCCTCCTTGACATATTGTTACTGAAGAAAGTTGTTGCCCAGAGGTGTGACCTCAAACTATTCTCTTGTTTGATGTGTGTTCATGAGGTGAGTTTTGCTTTTGGGGGAGGGGACATTGACCTGGTTTCTGAAATTATTTGTCAATTCATTGTCACAGGGAGTTTCTTTTAGGACCCCTCTTTCAGCTTCTGGAGAGGATATTTTTTGATGGGGAGATAGTAGCCCTTGGTGAGAAGTGGATTGAGGCTTCATCAGGCATTTCCCAGACAATGCCAAACACTATTTTGTACATTCAACAGACTTTGCTTATAGTGCTTGAAGACATTATCTCGTCACTTGAATGTGTTGTCCCACTGAAGGTATGCTGGCCATTTTAGGAGAGAAATGCTTGATTTTCATATACTATCATATTATGGTAATCTGCAAGTCCCATGAATTTATGTCACTACTATCTGTTTCCAGGATGACATATCAAATAGAGTTGATGTCGAGGTTCTGATTAAGTGTGCCCATTCTGCCAAAGAAGGTGTCACTCGGAACCATGTATTCTCACTGTTGTGTTCCATTGCAAATGTGATGCCAGACAAGATAGTACGCCATGTATTGGATATACTTGCAGTAATTGGGGAGTCGACCGTTACACAGGTTTGCTGATATATCTTAGAGTTTTAGGAATTGTATGTTCATGTTTACTGCATGAGTTATATACATTTCGATCCCTTCCATGTGATGTCCTGCTGCTGCGTTTCCTTTGTAGACAGACAGTCACTCTCAGCATGTGTTTGAGCAACTTATATCTGCTATTGTTCCCTGCTGGCTGGCCAAGACCGAGGACCCTGAAAAACTGCTTCAGGTGAACCATAAGAATTTCCTTTGCTGTCAACTTCTGCATGGCCTCATTAGTGTTTAACTCTGATTAATCTATTCACATGGATTTACTTTCAGATTTTTATGAATGTGATACCTGAGATTGCTGAGTACCGGAGGCTGTCAGTTGTAGTGTACCTTTTGAGGTATTACGCTTACACTACCAAACTGCTGAAATTCTTGCTTGATGTTAAGGATTGTGTCTAATTTATTTTGCTTCTCTACAGGGTGCTGGGAGAACAAAGTAGCTTGGCTTCCTTACTTCTACTTCTTTTCCAGTCCCTACTTTCTAGGAGGGTGCTCACTTCGCTTGGCAATGAACAAGCATTTGATGCTAAGGGTTCTATTTGGAGAGAATGGGAATATACTTTTGCACTGCAGATAGTTGAACAGTATTCAAGCACCATATGGCTTCCGTCTCTTGTCATACTTATAAAGCGGATAAGGGCAGATGATTCTGACCAAGAACTTCCAGTTAAGCTGCTTTTTGCAATGGAGTTTATTCTACACAAATTGCAAGATCCTGAATTCACATTGAGGCTTCAGTCAAGTGAGGGATTTGGTAACATTCAGGTACTGAGCTATATAATTGACAATAAATGTTTTGCCGATTTAGACAAATTCTACCAATTTAGATCAATGTCTTGTGTGGCTCTGACTGTTAGGGTATACACTAAAAAGATCTTCCGAGTATCAACTTCTACTCAATAGCTAGGGTTATTTCTAACCCCAATAGCGTTATAGAAAAATATTTTACTTGTGAGCCTTCCTGTTTTAGTTTCATTATCAGCTCTTCTTTCTTTCTGCTTGCGGGGAACAAATATTTTTGTTGTATATTTCTGTTGGTCTGGGTTTTATTAAAGAGAGCAGTAGCACACAAAGATATCTTATTTGGGAAATAGAATTCGGTCCTTTCCTTTTCCTTTGTTGATATAAGATGTCTTCTGAATTGTTTTGTTGATGATGAGCAGGGAACTCTTCAAGAACTTATGGAAGATGTTGTAACTATCTCACAACTTGTTGATGCCAGAAGAAAGCAGTTCCGCTCTCCTGCTGCCATGAGAAAAGTTTTAAAAGAAAGAGTGCAAGCTGTCTTGAGAACTATTAGGACAGCAATGACACCTTCAGCATATTTCAGTGGCATGATCAATTTGCTGGGGAATTCAGATGATAACGTACAGAAGGTATATTAAATTACAGACTAATGGATAAATTTGCACTTTTTATTTACTCTTGTCAGAGAACTCGAATTTTCAGTTTTAGTTTGCCTTATCTTACTTAGACATGTCAGCATTTCTTATTTCACCAGGATATGATTGATACATTTCTTAGTCTAGTATTAAAAAGATTTTGCATGAAATCCAGGCTCTGCGACTTCTATGTGGGACTCTGAGGAACCAAGACTCTGAAAAGACAAAGCACAAGGGGAGAAAAACACTTGTAGGTTCCAGTTCGTGGGTTCATATGGACAAGGCAGCAGTTAAATACTTTCATAAAATGTGTCTGCAGATTGTTGGAATGGTTGATACTGGAGAGGAAGCAGATCCAACTCTGCTGATTGCTGCAGTTTCAACCCTTGAAGTCCTGGCCCATAGCTTCCCCTCCAATCCTTCTGTTTTTAGTGCGTGTCTCCCATGTGTGACAAAAGCCATTAGGTCGTCTAACTTGGCAATGTCTTCTAGCTCACTCCGTACTACTGGTGCTTTAATTGAGGTGCTTGGGCCAAAAGCTTTAATCGAACTCCCTCACATACTGGGAAACATGATGGAGAAATGTCGTAAGGTTTCTTCATCCACTTCTGAAGAGTCTTTTATGCTTGCCATCCTTATTACATTAGAGCAAGTGATAGATAAGCTTGGTGGGTTTCTAAATCCGTACCTGGGTGACATCCTGGAACTGTTGGTGATTCACCCGATGTACACATCGTTATCACATGAAAAGCTGAAGCTGAGAGCTGATTTAGTGCGATCTCTACTCACCGAAAAGATTCCTGTAAGTTAGATCCAACTAGTTTACTTTTGAAGACACCTTGTCCTGCAGTCCTGGTTATATGATGCACATTTTGTCCTGCAAAATATTGATTTTGTTCCTTGTTGGTTAGGTGAGATTGGCTTTACCACCTTTACTAAAGATACAGTCTGATGCAGTGAAGTCTGGGGATTGCAGTGTGTCTGCTGCATTTGAAATTCTTGCTAGACTGATCCAGGCGATGGATAAATCATCTGTTCGTGGTTACCATGAAAAGATTTTTGACCTATGCTTGTCTTGTTTGGATCTTCGTCATCAACACCCTGATTCGATTCAGCATATTGATGCTGTTGAAAAAAGTGTCATCAATGCTACTGTTGCCCTGAGTATGAAGTTGACAGAAACAATGTTTAAGCCTCTGTTTATAAGAAGCATTGAATGGGCAGAATCGGGCGATGAAGGTAGTGCTAGCACAACTGTGGATAGGGCCATATCTTTCTATGGTTTGGTCAACAAGCTGGCTGACAGTCATCGGTGAGTTAGTTATCACTTGCTGCATATTTATTGATTTTCTGGATTAATAATGGTCTCTTTAAAGAATTAGCTAAGGATTATCTTTAACGTGATGTATTGGAACGCACTATGTGGGTCCACTTTCCCGTTTGATACATATGGATGTTAAGAAGTGCATTGCTTTAAAATTGTAGTCAAATTAATGAACAGGTGTTTGGGAGGTGTTGGGAATAGTTGATTGAGATATGATATTATTTTAGTAGTAAAAACTAATTAATGAGATGATAAATTGTTTGTTCAATAATAATGTAGTGAGTGGATTTCTATAACTGAATATTATGGAGTATATCTTTAAGGATAAGATTCTTATTCGCCAAGTTGAGAATGATTTTTTCCCCAGTGATGTGGCTTTAGATTTTGATATTTACATGGTGGCTACCGGAAGTTAGAATGAAGAAGGGTGTTTGTTTCACATTTTTAAGTCGGAATTTTTCTAACCAAGTTTCTTTTCTGAGCCTAGACAAATGCAGCTAATACCCTTTGCCTATTGCAGGTCTCTTTTTGTTCCATATTTCAAGTACCTGCTTGATGGCTGTAATTCCCATCTCACTAAACCACTAGGTGGGAAGGGTTCCACCCAAAAGAAAAAGAAAGCTAAGATCCAGGTGGATGGTACCAACGGTGATGTTGAACTCTCACTCAAGATTTGGCATGTCAGGGCATTGGTACTTTCAGCTCTACATAAATGCTTCCAGTATGATACGGGGAACCTCAAGTTTCTCGACTCCACTAGTTTCCAGGCAAGTCAAATCTCAAGTTGTTTTGCCTATCACTGCATGGTCTATATAACTATGTTAGAGATGTGTTTACAGGAAAGTTGTCAATGCTGTTGCTGATTGTTCTTGCTTGTGTTGACAGACTCTTTTGAAAAGCATTGCATCACAATTCGATAAAGAGCCACCTACTCTACTGCAAAGTCATCCAGATGTACCATCTCTCGAAGAAGTTGATAACCTCTTGGTGGAATCCCTTGGTCAAATGGCCGTCAGTGCTCGATCCGACCTCTTATGGAAGCCTCTGAACCATGAGGTATGTGGTTCTTTTGCCTCGTGCAATATATTTACCCTTCCATTCTCTGTCCATTTCTGTAAAAAACTGAAGAATTTTATTCGTTTGAGTCTTCAAGTCAGGTTTTCCACCCAAGTTAAAAAAAAATACCCTCACTCAATCGAGAGTTGGCACTCACGTTGACTGTTTCCAAATGTTATGAAACTCTGGCAGGTACTTATGCAAACCCGAACAGACAAGATCCGCCCCAAAATTCTCGGACTGAGGACCGTGAAGTACCTCCTCGATAATCTGAAAGAAGAATACCTGGTTTTCGTGCCAGAGACGTTGCCGTTCTTTGGTGAATTGTTGGAGGACGTGGACCTGTCTGTTAAAACTCTAGCACAGGATGTTTTCAAGGAGATGGAGACAGTCGGTGGTGAAAGCCTGGAGAACCACCTTGTTTTCTAATCCTGTTTGAAACGGCCGATTCAAGTAGCTCTGTAGTTTTGAGTGTTTTTTGGAGAAAGCGCAAATGAGAAAAAATCTTGAGAGGTCTTTTCGTTCGTTAAAGTGTACTGTAAACAGCTCAAGGTTTTTGTAATGATTTAGTACCAGTCAATGGCGGGCTGTTTCTTCTTCTACTCTTACTATATCAACTGTGAGATGTTCAACAGAAATGTGTATAATCATGGTTAAATTTTAAGGGCTTATCCGAGTTACTAAAGGAGAATGTACAAAAAGATATGAAGTTGGAAAAATGGAGGGACTAGATTGTAGATTCTGCAGAAGTTGAGGTACTTAGATTGACATTAACAGAAGGCTAACAGAATGGAGAAAAATGGCGTGTGGTACATAACGATGCAACGTTGTATGGTGTTCTACCTAGCAAAACTGGAAAAGCAGTCGATGGTCACATGAAACCTTAGTTCCGTAGGTAGTTTTGGTTACTGTATTATCTGTGTTTTTATGCGCGGTTTAACGAGCGATCTAATTGTAACGAAAGAAATCTTGTTGTTCAACTCAAAACGACAATCTATCTGGTTCTAATGTGTTCATGTATACAATATGGTAACGATGTTAACAACCAAATTTGTTAGCACTCCGTCAAGCAACAAAAGTGTTTGTGTTACATGAACCCTAGTTCATCTGGAAGGTTGGGACTCGCTTGAGTTTGTTGGCTGAGCCGAGTTTTCCCTTCCCCTTCTCCGCCACTTAGAAAGTGATAGAATCTCAACCCTTCAAATCAACTCGAATTCAGATAGTGAAATCTCGATCGTTTAAGAACGTGACAACTAATTTGGCCGTTAGCACAATAGCTGGATTGATTCTTCATTGTAGACCTAGGTAAATATGCTCGTGCAAATGATCTTAACACGACGCCGTTTCCGTCATTCGGAGCCTGAGAAAGAAACGAAAATATAGTGAAATCAATCGGCGAAAAACCCCTCTTCTCTTCATCAGTGTCCCCAAACCAAAACCTCTGCTCCGTATTCCCCTTGCCGCCGGTGAATCAGAATCGACGAATCCGCCAAGTCTTCTCTTCGTCCTCCGCCGGACGAAGTGTTGTTCCTCTCCATTTCCCTCTCTCAGTCTTTCTCAGGTGTTACGTTCTTCTGCGAATTTGCCATCGGAGGTCCGGCGGCGGATCGGAATTTTGAAGCAGGGTAGCGGCTTTCTCCAATGTTACAGCGATGCAGCACGGCGGTTTCTCGTGTCTCGAAGCTTGGGTCGACCTCTTCTATGGAGGCGCTGCGGAAAGATGCGATCTTCACTCCACGGCATTGGTATGCTACGGCTGCTGCTACGGCTTCTGTGGCGCCTGCTCCTAATGATTCTACTGCCAAGGGATCTCCTCTAAAATCAGTGGTAACGTACTAACCGATTCGATTATTCTCTTACCCTTCGTGCCGCAAGAAATGCTTTCTGGTTTCCTGCGCTTCTTGGGCTGTGATTCTTAGTAGGAAAAAAAAGAAGAAGAAACAGAATCGCTTTTGCTCTTCGCTAATTATTGAGTAATTGGGAAGCTGTTGTATATGGTATAGTTAGCAGGAGGTTGGAGTTACTGTCTGATTGATTTTAATGGGTGTTCAAATTTTATATAAACAGGTAAATTTGGACAAAATGTTCTGGTCGAAGCCATGTTCTTTGGCTCTAGCTCCTGAATCCCGGTTCAGAATTGAAGAGCCCAAATATGAGGGATTCCGTCATGTTATCTATAAGATGCTTTTGTTTTATAGCAAGCAGAGCAAATCGATTCGGGGAGCTAATGTGGTGTACCGAAGGATCCTTCATCAAGTAGATAAACCTGCTATTTATGAAGGTAAGTCCACTTTAGTGGTCATATCGATTGCTGATTGCAGCTTGCCTCAGTCAAATGAGATTTTTCGTATGGTATGTATGCTGTTTAATAATGCTCGATTTGTTTGCATACTTCATTTCTGATCTTGTTCTATTCTGAATGTGGTCATATTTGAAGTATGAGTGCATTGAATACCTGTTGGATTTATTTGTTGGGTGTTTCCTTTGCAGTTTTCAATTTGGAGAAGACCTTTAAGATGACATTTTCACTACTTGTACTTCACATGTGGCTTTGCTTACGCCGACTAAAACAAGAAGGGAAAGAAGGTGCTGAATTTGGTCAATACATTTATGAGAGATACAATCACGATGTGGAGCTTAGAGTATCCAAAGAAGGGGTAATTTGGTTGAATGCATGCTTGAGAGCTAAATTATCCATTATCAGTTGTATCTAAGATGTTTTTCTGGGTGGCAAGCACCCTTGATCGTTTTGTTTTAGACCCCAAGTTATCGCTTTTGGGCATTACTTTACAAGATATATGACAGTGTCTTATCTTTCTGCTTCTGTTTATGTACTCTGAAATGGCAGGTTAACCTGTTACTGACAAAATGGATGAAAGAGTTGGAGAAGATATTTTATGGAAACATTGTTGCTTATGATGCTGCCTTACTGCCCGAGGCTAAACCAGATGAGCTGTCCAAGGTGATATGGAGGTGAGAATATGACACCATGATGCAGTCAACGGAGTTGACCTGCTGCTTCCACTAGGAGCATTGATGTAAATTGAAGCACAAGATTATCCAAATGAACCATCTTTATAGCTTGCTTTCATTTTTGCCTCAAGTTTCAAAACCTTGAAGCTTTCTTATTGAAATTTTCTCTATTAGTCTCTCTCAACACCTTTCCCAACTGCAGGAATGTGTTTGCTGACGATGGCGAGTCTCAGCCAGATGATGCTGCATTGCGCACAGTCCAGGCATGATCTCCTGTCCTGACCTGCTTTTCCCGATACTATTTTGCAGCTTCTGTATCATATCACGGGCCTTCTTTCCTTTTTCTTTTTGTATGAGATAATTTCCTTCATTGATTAGGACATGACATCATTCCTTGTGTGATTACTTAATGTTTGAAGAGTGCAACTGACTATTTCACTTCTGTACCGATAGGCAATGACAAGGTACGTTCGTCGAGAAGTCAGTTGTTTTTCATTAACAGGTAAAAGTCATCCTCTTCCTATGTATTCTGACCATATATTGAAATTGCCTTTAGAATCTAAGCTTCATTTGCTTCTGTTGATGTGTGTTTCTTTCTTGGTCAATTGGCAGACAAAGAAGCCATGTATTCAGGGAACTTCATGTTCACGTCCTTGGACAACATTCCATCGGTTTCAGCCAAGAGATAAAGATAAAGTAGATGATGTGAAGATCTTTCAACTCCATTAGAGGTTCTTCTACTAGAGTAGCTTTCATTGTTCGAAACAGTCCTCTTCTTGCTTCATGGATTTTACATAGAATGTTACCGCTACTTGCATACCATTTCATCAGCTAAAGATGACAGGAAAGTGCCCCTTTTCGCCGGGAGGAGGCTCAAATCCGGAGAACAATAATCAGACATCATGATACTCTCTTTGTAGTACTATATTTTTCTGCCTCTTTTTCATTCTCATATTCTTCAATGTTGATCTACGATTCTTGAACCCAATCATTGGTGCAGAAGCTCTAAAGCTTCCAATAACACAGGTCTAAACCTTGTAACATTAAGCGTCACATTCTGGTTCAGCATGTAAATGGGACTGAACTCCTCCCATCGAAACGACGACGGGTCGGTGAAAACGACATCGTCGGGCGGGTACTGCTTCACCAAACTGCTCTCTTCCCTCTCTATCTTGTACTCCAAGTACCTCACCTCCATACCCTTCGACGGCTCTCCGAAATAGTTAGTCGCAAACCAGTCCACGGCAAACGGAACCACCTGGATCACAACCGCATCCTCCGGAAGAAAAACCATGTTGGTAAGTCCCGCTCCGTGGATTCCCATCATCACGTCGGCACGATTGGCGAGCCTCGCCGATCTCGAAACGTTCGAGTCGAGTTCCGTCACTGTTACTTGGTACCCAAGATCTCTAGCCATCGTCATGATCTCTTCCGTATTCGTGAATGTCCGAGTCCTCTCTCGAGAAATTATCAAAAGTCGTGGCACCAATGTTGTCGTCTTGTCGTCTTCTGTTTGTAGTTTGATTGCGGTTGTCTTATTGAGAGAATAAGCACTTCTTAGGAAATGTTTGAAGTCTTTCATCGTATATTGAGTTTCCGATGTGTTGATGCTGAGTTCTTTGCCGTCTCGCCCTTTCAAGCCTAGTATAACTCTCGAGAAGCAGAGGGCTTTTCCATCAGGTTGAACCTTGTCGATGTCTATCACTTCATATCTGAAAGCAAGTTAATTGGATAATTAGTAGAATAAAAGTGATATATAAATATGGGTTTCCATGTTACTATTCATTACGCGCGGTTAATTCATGACACGTTTAATAATGAGTATAACGGTGCTATTGTTCCGATGAAGAGAAGAACCTATGATTAGCTTTTCAGAAAATTTCCAACAAACAATTTCAACAAGCATTGTTGAGGGACGACACATGGTAAAGAAAAAAAGAACATTAGCTCATGAGTTTTTTTTTTCTTTCCAATTTTTTCTTTCTTTCTCTATTAGTTTCCAATTCTCTTTTTTGTTTTCTTTATTCTCATCTCCAAACATGAGTTACTATGCTTATATGCATTTTTCGATTGACAATCTCGGTGAATTTTTCAACTATTCGAATAAATATTTTATTTTTTTCATAGAGTCATATTTTGGAATATGAATCCTAATTGGCTATCGAGTCCAATTTATTCTCGTTACCTTATAGCTTCAGAAGTGTAGTATTTTAACAGGAGTTTGACTCACTAACTTCAACCTGCTGTTATATGTGGTTGAACACACACTTTCTTAAACTGATCTTTAGACTACGTCGTTTCATTTACCAATTCACACAAACTGAAGAAAAAAAGTGTTGTGTGAATTTTCATTTTTTATTTGGTGTTATTATAATATTATTTTGCATTTAAAAAAATAGAAATTTTAATAACTTAGTACCTGGATAGTGCCTGCCACATAGTTGCAAACTTGGCAACCTGCAAATGGTGACCGTTGGTGACGAGGAGATGGAGCCGCCGGTCGAAAGGGCGCGCGGTGACGAAGAGCGACACCAGAACGTCGGTGAAGGCGTGGAAGTAGTTTCCGAAATAGGCTCCCAGAGAGAACACGAGCGCCGGAGAAGAATCATCATGATGAACTCGATGAGAAGAACAGAGTGGCAAGCCCGGATGGTCTGCCGGTACCAATTTCACCGTCCATTCCCTTATTTGTCCCATGGCGGCCTCGTCGCCGTTTCGCGGGTAGGGCTTGATCACCGCCGGCGGCGGCGAGCTGATGTTGTTGTTGTTGTTAATTTGGTATTTCTCCGATGGGATGACGTGATAAACGTTTGCTGACTTGGGGTCGACACGGACATCCCCTTCTATGTCGCAGTAATCTGATCTCCCGCCGAAACGGCACTTCGCAGCCCGAAACGTTTCGGGCTGCTTTGGTGTTGCGAAAACCGTGTCTAGAAATGGCAAAAAAAAGTACCAACTTGTTTAATCATCTTTTATGACGCATATACTGAAAATTCATTTTTTATTTTTCTATCTAGTGCAATTAATCAATCTCGGACTCATTCGGTGTTGGACCATTACATTTGCATGAGTTATTTGGTTCCAAATGGTACAACCGATTCATTTGGTATAAAATAACTCATTTGTCAAAATGAAAAACAAAACAAAAACATTTTCAAACAGCTACCTCCCAATTGAGTTATTTGCAAACGACTTCACCTCCAGTCGATTGCAAATGGCTCATTTTTTCTTGGTCGATCACATACCTTTATCCATGGCAGTAGTGGTGATTGTTTCCCTGGGGCTACTTCTTGTTGTTGTTGTTGTTGTTGCGGTCATCCCCGCTTCGGGCTGCTTCTGCTTTGCAAAACTCGTATCTAGAGATTTCCAAAAAAAAGGGGGGAAATATATTTACTGTTTTTCACTCCATCGGCAAAAAATATACATCTTTGCATTATAAAATTAGCAAAATAAATAATGTGTACCATGTCATTCAATCATTTTTTATCGTTAGATTAAAAAATTTCTTCAAGTTTGTTAATAGTTGGTCAACCATAGGGAATAAGAAGTTATCCGATGATGACTCACATGACACGTATACTTGCTAAGCATGTAACATTCTCTAATTAATTTGGATATAACTTTTAATCCAAGGACTAAAATGGATATATTACATAGAGAATGCACTTGCTATTTTTTTTGCTTTGATATGTTATTTACGGGTCGACCAATGCTTAACAAGTAGGTTTCTTTTATGACCATATGTCCTATTGGAAATTCATTTTGTAGTCTTCAATATAGTGCAATTAATATTATTTGCTGATCAACCAATGCTTAACAAGTAAGATTTTTTTATGACCACACGTCTCATATACAGTAGATCCATTTTTTTAATTCTCAATCTAGTGCAAATAATCAGTATCATACTCATTTGTCTGCTATATTTGCACGAGTGATTTGATATCAAACGACTCATTCGTAAAAAAAAAAAGAATAAAACGAACCATTTTCAAACGATTGCCTCCCAAATTACTCAATCAAGTTATCAGTAAATGACTCGCATTTTGTACTCATTTACACACGACTCTTTTTTCCCCGGTCGATCCGTACCTTTATCGACGACGGTGGTGATTGTTTCCCCGGGACTAGTTGTTGTTGCAGACTCTTTATATTCAAGAAAGCTAACAACGACGAGGAAGATAGTGATGAATGCTCCCGTTGCCATCATCTTCTGTTCACGTTTGCTGAAGCTTCTGCCCAAGAACCCACCGTTCTTCTTCATGTTTTTTCACGCACACTTTTTGTTCCTCTTCTTCTTCTTCTTCTTCTTCTTCACTCTTTTCATCCATTTTATATTCTAAGAGAAAATGCTACTTGGAGAAGGCAGCACGGATTCTCCTCATCTTGCTGTGAAATGTAGAACGTGATAGATTATGAAAGGGCCATTAATGGAGACAATTGAAAGGTGGTAGAGAGATATAGACACTATAACAAAAGAAAGAAAAATGGTCTTTTGTGACGATTTTCATGCAATCAAATTTATTTTTGAGGAGATTAGGGGAGAGACCAACTCAAGGTTCATTTTTGTCTAGAGGTAGGTTCTTTCAATAATTAGATCCAATTTCTATTAATAGATTAAAAATTTCTTTTACTGAGATACTAATACAGGTAGTAAAGATAGAACACCATAACCAACTAGTATGCTTTAAATTTCTATCTTGTATATAAATACATTTAGAAAAATGTATAAAGCGGCTTAAACGGGTTGGATCTCAATCAAATCATTAAACTTCAAACCACTTGCTTGATCGGCTCAACGTCTTAAACTGGTTTCACAAACTTTGGTTATAACCATTAAGATTACAATGTCTATTATTGATGAAAAGTTATAAGAATTTTGAAAATTGAAAAATAATTTAGTTGTCAACTTAACTTAATATCATACGAAATTTGGCATTTAAAATAATATAAAAGTTTTAAATACACATAAAAATACATTGTAATCAAATGACATTCCGACCAATGGGTCGGACAACAAGCTAGTGTAGTAAAAGATGGAACACCATAACCAACTATAGCCTGCTTTATATTTGTTGCAACACATTTAATTAAACGTCTACAAACATATTCGCTCAGTTCCGAACCCCAAAATGCCACAGAGGATTCTAAATTTCAAGCCGATGAGTGCCTTAATTCGATTCGTCGGTTTAAATGTAGGTCTGGTTCGATTCTACTGCGAACTCGATGTCCACCCTTATTAGGGGACCAACAGTAAATATGTAAGGGGCGATGGAAGTCCAAATATATATAATCATTAACTTGAATTTACTTTTTAGGATGAGGATTGCACATAGGAAAATATCAATTCTTTGATCTCTTTATGTGACGAACCTCTTTTTAACACATCGAATGAGTTTCATTAGAGGTGAAAATGGATTGAATTCGTGAATTGATGGGATCCAGTGTTTCACCCTTTAAAATTGTTTCAACCAAAATCCACAGTTTGTCGTCGGTGGACATGGATTCCATTGCCAAATAATTCATTTACCTCTACCCATTTCTTAATCTCGGACCTTGAGATAGTATTATTTTAATTTAGATCGAAAAGGTTGATCATAAGCAAACTCGATTCAAGTAGGATACATATTATTATCTCATTAACTTGTTTCTTCAATTTAGAAAGCACTTTGAATTAATTCCCCAAGTACATGCAATTTGATCATCAAACTCTCGACAGAGAACAAAAATCATCGATGCAAAAGCTCCAAAGCTCTCACCAACATCGGCCGAAACCTCGTCACATCAACCGTCACATTCTGGTTCTGCAAGTAAATCGAGCTGAATTCCTCCCACCGAAACGACGTCGGGTTCGTAAAAACCGCGTCGTCTGGCGGATACACCTTCGCCAAACTGCTCTCTTCCTTCGTAATTTTATACTCTAAGTACCTCACATTCATTTCCCTCGACGGCTCCCCAAAATACCTATTCGAAAGCCAGTCCACGGCAAACGGAACCACCTGGATCAGAATCCCGTTCTCGGGGAGAAAAACCACGTTGGCGAGCCCCGTTCCGTGAACTCCCAACAACACGTCGACGCGATTCGTCGTCCTCGCCGATTTCGACACGTCCACGTCGAATCGCGACACGACCGTTTCGACCTCGAACCCGAGCTCTCTAGCCGTCGTCACGATCTCCTCCAAGTTCGTGAACGCTCGAGTCTTCTCTCGAGAAATGATCAAAATTCGCGGTGGTGTGATAAGGCCTTAATAAGCCACGTAGTAGGATAATTGTTTAGGGTTTCCACTTAATTAATAATTATGGTTAGGAGTGTTAAAACATGTCATCATGGTTGTTAGAGTTAGTGGTTAGTGGAATTAGCTTCTCCATATTTGGTGGGGAAAACGTAGGAGCAAAAGGTGGAGTTTGTTCCACTTAGTTAGATTGAGCTGGACGTGGGAGTTAGGATTCATTTGTTTTCAACCTTATGTATTTAAGGGGTGATTGAATGGAATAGAAGGTAAGCAGAATTTTAGAAAAGAAACCCTTGGTCATTTCTCGCCAAGAAAGGAGAAAACTGGTTCAATCCCGCCAAGAAAAGGGATCCAATCATTCATCCAATCCATCACGTATCATTTGGTATCAGAGCCGTTGATCTGGATTCCGATCACGATGAGCTTAGTGAGAGCATCAAGGGAGGAGGAACTCATCAATCAGGCAATCCAAATGCTCGATCGTGTCATCGCTACCTGCGGCAAGATGATTGCGTCGTATGACAAACACAGGCCAGCAACACCACCACCACCGCAAGTCGAAGCTGCCGATCCGGTAGAGGTTGAGGAAGAAGACGTTGATGCCATCGATGTCGCACCACTTGTTCCTTCAATGTCGCCCACCACAACGCCAGCTATCATCAAGGAGATCTCGGTGATAGAAGAACCCGCAGCGCTAGTAACCATTACCACACCTGGACTCGCCGTCAAGGAGGATCCGCCTTCATCTTCCACTGTCACTGCCGCTGATTTGTCCATTGATGGACGATCAAGTGTCTCACCCGATGCTGTCGTGAACAAAGGGAAGGAAAAAGTTGCAAAGATTGCCTGGAGTCCTGACTTGTTTACTGTGGCCAAAGTCTCGTCTCAATTGAACAGCGACGTGGAGATCGAAGCTGTTAGCATTGCCTCTCCCCTGCCATCTTTGCAGAGGAAGTTTGAGCTTGACCAAGTTAGAGATGGAGGTCTGCGTCACTTGCGTCCAAGTACGGTAATTCATAATAACGGGACTCGAATCCTTATTATGTTTACTTCTTTGGATCAACGTATGATATTTTCAACGTGGGAGTCCTTTCACTCTCAAAATATTGGAGAGGTCAAATCAAGCAGCCGTTCATGGAAGTATCGGCAGAAAATAGGGCTGGAGAGGTTATGGCTTAAGGGCGGGGCGGTCGCCAAGCCAGAGATCATTAAAGGGCAAAAATTCGACCACATGATGAGGGACTACTTCATCACCTTTGTACAGGGTAAGTACGGGAAGTGCAAGAGCAACTATAAGAGAATCGTGGGTAAGCTCGGGATGGAGTGCGAGCAAGCCCGATGGGCCTTGAGCAGCCAGCACCAGGTCCGAGTTGAGATTGCATCACGGTTCAAGGGAGTTGTATTCTCGGAGTCATGGAATGGGCCGCAGTATACGTTATTAAACATGGGGTTGTTCAAAAACTACTTCAGGCTAGTGAAGACAAAGAAGGGCACGTGCTGGAAGAAGTCGGCTACCCACAAGAGTGTGTCCGACGCGGAGGAAGCGAGCCGATCAGGAGCTGGGGATAGCTCGCATATGGAAGCTACTAGTGGAGTTGACCAACTGCACGAGCTGATTTTCAATTTTTGGACCGGTGTTTGGTTTCCATTTAGGATTGATGGGATGGAAGTGCCTCGTGGTCCATTGTTATCATGGGGATGGATAATAAAAGGGCAGGAAATACGTGGGATTAGAGAAGTAATGCATGGAAGGATGGATTTGGAAGATGAATTTCATAGCTTTGAAGGATCTAATCGTGGTCGAGTAGCCCATTCACTCGTCATAGAGATGAAGCTCTTGTACGTAGAAGCTGTCGATGTTGGATTAGTTCGAGTGCCTCAACGGAATTGGAAGATTCATATATGTGAAGAAGACTACGTGGAACCCGACCTTGGCCTTCAACAATCACTATTTCCAAGCTCGGCCTTGAGGACAAGGCCGTTTTTCAGGGGGTGGTAATGATAAGGCCTTAATAAGCCACGTAGTAGGATAATTGTTTAGGGTTTCCACTTAATTAATAATTATGGTTAGGAGTGTTAAAACATGTCATCATGGTTGTTAGAGTTAGTGGTTAGTGGAATTAGCTTCTCCATATTTGGTGGGGAAAACGTAGGAGCAAAAGGTGGAGTTTGTTCCACTTAGTTAGATTGAGCTGGACGTGGGAGTTAGGATTCATTTGTTTTCAACCTTATGTATTTAAGGGGTGATTGAATGGAATAGAAGGTAAGCAGAATTTTAGAAAAGAAACCCTTGGTCATTTCTCGCCAAGAAAGGAGAAAACTGGTTCAATCCCGCCAAGAAAAGGGATCCATTCACTCATACGATTTCAACACGTATCATGGTGGCACCGATGTTTTTTTCTTCTTCTGATCTCCGTCGTGGTCACGTAAGTGTGTAGCGGTCGTTTTATCGAGAGAGTACGCACTTCTTAGGAAATGTCTGAAGTCTTTCATGGTGTATTGAGATTCTGATGAGTTGATGCTGAGTTCTTTCTCGTCTCGACCTTTCAGACCCACCATGACTCGAGAGAAGCAGTGCGCTTTCCCGCCCTGTTGAACTGTGTCGATGTCCACCACTCTGTATCTGGAACAAAATTTTTCCATGTGTTTATACTTTGTTTGGAAAGTATTGCATGAATGGAGGGGGGAAAACGAAGGGATTCTGCATAAAAGCGTATTAGTGAGCTAGAAGGTTGAAAACGTAAGCTTTTTAAGTTTTAAAACATATATTTTAACTTAATTTGTAAGTGAAAAACATGATTTTGCATACGGAGAAGCGTTTTGATGATCAACAACGTAGTAAAAAAAACACGATTCTACGTAGAATCAATTTATGGTGTGCTAGAAGCGTAAGAACATAAGCTTTTTAAGTTTTAAAGCATAGATTTTGACTATAATTGCAAGTGAAAAGCGCAATTACACGTAGAAGCATTTCGATGACCTAGCTAGAAGTGTAAGAAAAACGTAAACTTTTTTAAGTTTTAAAACGCGATTCTGACTGCACTGATATGTTACGTACGTACCTGGACAGTGCCTGCCAGACAGTCGAAAACTTCGTCACCTGCAAGTGGTGGCCGTCGGTGACGAGGAGATGGAGCCGCCGGTCGAAGGGGCGCGCGGTGACGAAGAGCGAAACGAGGACGTCGGAAAAGGCGTGCAGGTAGTGTCCGAAATAGGCTCCCAGAGAGAACATGAGCGCCGGAGAAGAATCATCATCATGAACTCGTTGAGAATTACAGTGTGGCAAGCCCTCATGGTCTGGAGGCACCGTCTTCACCGTCCATTCCCTCACCAGTCCCATGGCGGTCTCGTCGCCGTTCCGCGGGTACGGCTTTATCATGGTCATCGCCGCCGTCGATTTAGCGATGAAATCGCTGCTTGGATGGAGAACTTGATACACCGTTGCTGAGCCCGGATCCACCCGAACATCGCCTTCGATGTCACAGTAATCCGATCTCCCGCCGAAACGGCACGTGGCGGGCTTGGCGAACGGTTGCCGTCCAACTTCAGAGTGAAATTATTAGAGATATTTTAGTCATTTGTGTCATCCAAACTACGAATTTTATTACATGTGATTGATTATTCCGTCGTTCGTCGCTGGATATGGACGACGTAACATTTTATTTACGAAATTTTATTTACGAAATTATCACGTATACGTACAGTTATCGACGGTGCTGGCTACTGTTTCCACAGGGAGGCTCGTCATTAGGGTTTCATTCTTCCTCCTCGTTGGAGTTTTCATATTCTCAGGCTCTGCATTATTTCAAGAAATAAAACAAAGATTTGATCAAACGATGCACTGTAAGTAGCTAGGGATTCAGGTTATGAATTTACTTACGATTCGGTTCATGCCGATGCAGCGTCGCGCAAAAGGCAACAACGACTAGGAATAATGTGGCGATGACTGCCACGGTTCTCAGTATCTTCTGTTTACGTTTGCTCGTCGAGCTTCTGCCCGGAAAGCTGGCACCGCCGTTCTTTTTCATCTTCGATCGATCAGTATACCTTTTTTTTTTTTTTTTTTCTCTTTTGATGAATCCTTCTTACTTCTTCAATTTTATAACGATTGTGAGAAGAATTTCATGTTGTCACTAGGAGAAGAAGCCAGCACGCATGTTCTCCTCAACGTTATTGTGAAAAATCAGTTTGGAAGATGATAGATCATGAAAGAAAAAGACCCGTAGATTAAATGGAGAGACAATTGAAAGGTGGTTGAGAGAGATGTAGAAATCGGAACCGGCCGATGAACTTATCGGAGCATAGTAAATGATACGTGATCCATAATTGAATATCTTAAAAAAAAAAAAAAAAAACTCTGAGTTATTGGGAACAATGGGTTCTTGATATGGTATCATACCCTTCTGTGATGAAGAGATCTTCTGTTTGTTTCAATCTCAGTGACCCCCATTTGTTCTGGTAAGCACATGGTGATCAGACGTGTGCAAACTTCAAGCCTATGTGAGTGGCTTTCAGTCTGAAGGATGTGTAAGTAAATGGTATATGATCCATAATTGAATCTCTCCCAACAACTCGAGTTATTGGATCAATTGGTTCTTGATAGTCATGACTCATGACTCCATAACAAAAATTTGGAGAAATTTTTTCAAACCAACTAGTACGTGCATTCTGCGTACCGATGATTTTTTTGAAGTGAGTCTGACGTAAAAAGAAAAAAAAAATCATAAAATAACTTCCATGGTTCCTTACAATAACCCACACCATGTCTTCATATTAAAAGAAAAGTTTGTGAAGTATATGCATCATTCATACTTAAACCAAAATGGCGAATGATAATTAACAATGTTGCTAATTTCATAAGTCAATATGCTAGTAGTGGGAAACTTAAATGAGTTTGTAGATTATAGTTTATAATTACATTATATAACTAGTTTCAATTGGTTTGTAGAAAGTAGCAACCCTAACACATCATACAAGTAGTAATGCAAGCTCCCTGGATCATTTGACAAACTTAGATTACAGCATTCCTTCAGGGATCCAGCATTTGACATTTCTGTGATTTGATCTGAATAGAAATATTGGAAACTTAGATTACAGCATTTGACAAATCCCTGCATTTTGACAATTCCAGTGATTTGAAGCATCTGGGAAGTGGGCAGTATTAAAGTAGTTGTTGCAGTTTCCTGATGGAGACAAATCACTGGTTTGGAAAGGCAGGGCAGGCATTGAATTCAAGATCTCCACAGCTCCAGAGGCCATTCAATACTGGGTTCTCCCTGATACCAAGAAAAATGAAGGGAGGGTCAAACAATGGAAGAAGAAGGGGCTACTTTCCTTTTTCTTGGGATAATGGAAAATGGCGGGAAGCGGTCCCCATTGATGGCGGCATTAACGTCGCTAATAAAAGGAATTAAAGTGGTACTTGAATTGAAGCTCTCAACGAAAGAAAACTGGTCCCCTTCTGTATTCCATTCCCCATGGCCATGGTCCCTCCATTGGTGAGACAGCAGGCGTGGAATCCAATCCAATCCCGAGCTATGTTTATGAATTATGATTATAACCAACCAACGACCACCATTGACCATCCAGCAAGCATTATTGATGATTATGGTTGTTGTAATGAGGTAGTTGGAGGTTTTTAATTATCTGCTGCAATTGTGAGATGGGATACCACTGCCTCCCTCCTATCTCCAACAAACCATGATGTTTCATTAATGAATGGCTGTTAATGAGCGGCGAATCGAGTCGAGATTCGCCTCGTTCAGGCTCTCGGCTCGTTATCGAGCTCGACTCGTTGATCAACGATGCGATGATGAGACAGGGGAAAACGAAACAGAGCAAAATCAGGGGAAAACAGAGGAAAACAGAGTAGGTTCAATCGAACAAGTCAATCTATACAGGTGTAGTACTCTGTTTAAGTTACATAATGATGATAATTCCTTGCGTGTTGCTATGAAGAGAAAAAAAAAGGACAAAGAGAATATAGATGAACTTACCATGCACTTCTGGTTAAAGTTCTCAGTCGCTTGGACTCATTCGTTTGGAAGTTTTCTCAAAGGAAACCCCGCCAACCGAAATTGCTATAGCTGAGTCGATCCTTCAACCCATGAAGGCTTTTGTTAGCTTCAGTTAGACGACAGAAGAGTGACACTTTTTCCTGTTTGGCGATTGGCTCTTTCTCATGAACGTGCATGCCTTCTTCTGCAACCAGATAAAGCACCAATCTTTCTTTTTTGTATGTGCTGGTGATGCTTTTGGGCACGTAAAGCGCAATTCCCAGAAGACCCGACAAAAAACCGATCACCAATTTCTGGCTTCTTGTGGAACATGGCCCCGGACACGTCTGTAGATGACTCTAGCTACAATCCCATTATGTCATCATCCATGGATGTTGCGTGCATGCTGAATGCCGCTCTGAGTTTGGTTTCTGCCACCAAAGAAATAAACTTTTTCCTCATTCGTGCCTACCCACAAAAAAACCAAGTGACTTCTGCTGCTCTAGAGTCTAGAGGTTGCTATCTTCCCATCTCTTCGAGCTTGCACACCACCTGTTTGATGTTTGGTCTAAGAGAAGGCGAAGGGGAACAGCAAGACATTGCAAGCTGAAAGAACTTGAATATGCACTCTTCCCTGACAGAATTCTCACTCTCGCTCCCACTGTCTACAAGTACGTCCGGATGGTAAATGTCTGCGATCCTACGATCAAGCACCGCGTTTCTCATCGACGTCGGGAGGTAAAAATCTTCGTCGGGAGTTGGATTCGGATTCACTGGCTCTCTACCCGAGAGCAACTCGAGCAGTACTATTCCCAGGCTGTAGATATCAGTTTCTTCGCTTGCATCTTTCATTTTGATCAGCTCGGGAGCTTTGTATCCCTCGGCTGCAGATGTCTCGAGCATTTCCTGGGCCGCTGTAGGATTCAGGAGGAGATGCAGGCCGAAATCTGATACACAAGGCGATCCACTGCGATCGAGGACTACGTTCTTCGACTTGAGATTGCCGTGAATCACAGGCTTCTGGAGTCCTGTGTGGAGGTGGTCAAGGCCTCTGGCTATGCCAATGGATAGCCTGTGGATGGTTGTCCATTTGTGACACTCGGCATTCCCATCTGCAGAATAAACAGTTCCTGTTGATTCAGTCCATGTGCAGTAAGTTATGATTAAGCATTATTGAATGCCGTGGTTTCGTGAGAAAGATGCTGATTAGAGGGAAAGCATTATTATTATTATCAAGTTGAAACAACTACGGCAACAGGAGCAGAAACAACATGATCTCCATTTTCTTAGAGAGAAAGCAAGGAGATTAAATAACCAAAAAGGTTGGTGCCGACAGCTAATTGATGAAAAAAGATAATCACCAACCAGAAGATATTTAATTATAATTTGACTACAACTGGCCAGCAGGTAATCCAATTACCATTGTCTCTGAAATCTGAATCAGATTAGAGACAACACCATCCCAACCCCCAATCACTAAGAAAGAAACCTTTTTTTCTTTTTTACTTGATTACTTAAGATCCATTTGAAAAGGAACTGAAAAAAGAACAGTACTGAACCAGAAGAATATGCCAACAGTCTTCTGCAGTAAGGACTAAAAACATCAGGCAACAGGAGAATTTCAGACAATTCCTTCCAATCCTGTTAATGAATCAGTACTCTGCATTCCTTGTTCTGACAAGAGACTAGTACACTATTCCAAACCATAATATGGGTCCAATTATTTGTCCAAACCAAGCAAGATTGAAGCATTTTTTCCATAAGAATCACTGAAATTGGTAGGAACTGTGATTTTAACCCCCTGAGTGTTGATTTCAGAAGGGCATAAAAATAGTACCTTTCTGACATGTTCTATGACAAACAGAGAGAACCAAAGAGGAAGAACAGCTACAGAAAATGAAACCAGAAGCTGACCTCGGATGAAACGAGCCAAATTGCCACGCCGGAAGAAGGGATGAACAAGGAGCTTCTCGCCTCTAGGGCCAGCATAGAACCCCAAAAGAGGGACCAAATTAGGGTGCCTAATGCAACCCAGCAACTGAACCACATCACCAAATTCCTTAACCCTCGCAGTACAAACGGGCCTCAAGAACCTAAGCAGCCTGACGCAGTTGCTCCTCTGCAACAAAGCCTTGTAAAGGGTACCGTAATTTGATTTCCCGATGACCTCTCCAGGAGCATCGAGAATGTCGGTGACAGTGAGCTCCTGTCCACCTTGAAACCTCACCAAATCCTCTGTCGCCGCCGCCGCCGCCGTCTCGCCGCTCTGTTTCTTCTCCTGCTGTTCCACCTCGACGTCGTCGCATTGGGGTTTCCCTCCCCTTCTCCTTAAGCAAAACAGGAGGGTTAGTGCGAGAACGAGCAGGACAGCCGCTGAGGATGATGCTAAGAGTAATTTCATCAAATGGGTGTGCTTCATTTTGGGAAAAGGGAGCAGCTTTAGGGCTTCCAGGGGATGAAGATTGAAGATCAGGATCTGGGAAGTGGGTATTATTGAGGAAGAGTGGAACGGGAAAACGGTTTCCTCTACGATCAAAAGATTCCAACTTTGTTTCTCTTTTTCCTTGTTCTTTTTCTTCCGGTGTGAAAGGGAGTGGGGCAGAAGAGAGGCGACAAGGAGGCGAGGATAGAAGAGAACTTTAGTGGTGCGGAACCCAAGGATTCAGAAGAAGTAGCAGAAGGAAGAAGAAGAAGAAGAAGAAGATTGATGTGAAAGTGAAAGAATAAACGGATGGATACAGTTGGAATGGAAGTTTGAAGCGGTAAGGGTTGGGATCAGGAGAAGAAGCACATGGGATTGGAAGATAAGAAGAGAACAGGGGAGGAGGGAAAGAATGCAGAACTGTGAGGAGACAGAAGAGGAGGAGGGGAAAGGAGAGAGAGAGAGAGGGAGAGAGGAAGGGAGGGAAATCTGAAATGAGCTGTGGAAATTGGGAAGTGAGGGAGTGAGACAGATCTAGATAGACAAGCATGTGGGATTTTTATTAAACGGGCAGGGAGGGAAATTGGGGAGTTACTTTTGACCTAAATTTTTTTGCACATCAGTTGTTGGCGTGATGCCTTGTTGTTTGCCCAAAGATTCGAAGAGTGCACCTGCGTTGCGTGCGGCTCTCTTCCCGACGGTGGTTATGACTTCTGTTAAACACAAAAGAATGCAAACTGACAGTTTATTCCATAAAGCACAAAGGAACTTATATACAGACTCAGTAATCTCGGTTTGCCACTAACCACGATCACCTAAACCTTAACTGTCAAGCTAAACTGCCTTCTACACAAAGCTACTGAACTGCTGAACTCTAATAAACACAAACATAACAAAGGTGACCAAACAATAAATTTCCACACGACACAGTTTTGCTAAACACAGAACACAAACTTCAAACTTTGAAACATGGCGCCAAACTTCTGCACTCCAACTTCAATCCTTCTTCTAACATCCTCCCCTGAACTGAAGTCTCCTTCTTCCTTCAGTTCACCTCGAATCTGGTCACTCGATTTCACCACCTTCACACACACCAAGCCTGTCTCGCATCAGCTGAAAGACTTCCAGTTTCAGAGGCTTGGTCATCACATCTGCCACCTGCTCACCTGTCCCAATATACTCCAGCTCTACCACTCCTTCATTTGCCAGGTCTCTTAGGAAATGGAAACGCACATCTATGTGCTTACTCCTACCATGAAATACTGGATTCTTCGAGAGCTTTATGGTTGAGCTATTGTCACAGTAGATTGTTGTGCTTCCCTTCACACTCTCTTCCCAATCCATTTGACACAGAACTCTTCTTAACCAGACACATTGAGTTGCACAGAATGAAGCTGCAACAAACTCTGCTTCTGTGGTGGAAAGTGTCACCACTGGTTGTTTCTTTGATGCCCATGACACAGCTCCACCTGCTAAGAAAAACACATATCCACTGGTGCTCTTTCTATCATCTACATCTCCTGCATAATCACTGTCTGTGAACCCTTGCAGACATTCCTCCCCAGCCTCTTTTCTGTACCAAACACCATAACCAAGTGTTCCTTTAAGATACCTCAACACCCTCTTGGCTGCCAGCATATGTTGCCTGGTAGGATTCTCCATAAACCTGCTCAACAAACACACAGCATACATTATGTCTGGTCTGGTTGCTGTGATGTAAAGCAAACTCCCAATCAATTGCTTGTACTCTGTTGAATTAACTGGAACTCCATCTCCTGCCTTGGTAAATTTGAGCCCTGGAGTCATAGGGTTCTTCACATGATTGCACTCCAGAAGCTTAAACCTTTCCAAAACTTCTCTGGTGTACTTCTGCTGAGAAATGAAAATCCCAGAATTACATTGACTGACTTCAACTCCCAGGAAGTACTTCATCCTCCCCAAGTCAGTCATCTCAAACTCAGCTTCCATGGACTTCTTGAACTCAGCAATCAATTGAGTGTCATTGCCAGCAAACATCAGATCATCCACATAGAGACTAACCAGCAGAATACTACTTCCAACCTTCTTGACAAACAAGGTATGTTCATAGGGACATTTTTGAAAACCATGAGTGGTAAAGTACCCCTCAATCCTGCTGTACCAAGCTCGAGGAGCTTGTTTTAAGCCATACAGAGCCTTCTTCAACCTATAGACCTTGTGTTCTTCACCTGCAACCACAAAACCCTTTGGTTGCTCTACATATACTTCCTCAGTGAGAGTACCATTGAGAAAGGCACTTTTAACATCAAGTTGGAACACAGGCCACCCATGTGCAGCAGCCAAGGCTAGAAAAACTCTAATTGTGTCCCATCTGGCCACTGGTGCAAAGACTTCAGTGAAGTCAATGCCATGTTGTTGAGAGAAACCCTTGGCCACCACTCTTGCTTTATGCTTATCCAGCAAGCCATCTTCCTTTAGTTTAGTTTTATAAACCCATTTCAAACCAATGCATCTAGCTCCCTCTGGTAAGACAGTAAGTTCCCAAGTGTCATTCTTCTTTATAGAGGCCATCTCAACTCGCATAGCCTTGTTCCACTTCTCATCCTGGGAGGCTTCCTCATATGTCAAAGGATCTTCACTGACTGCAACCATGGCACACCAGTCTGCAGCATAATTGAGATCATAGTCATCCAAGTGAGCAGGAGGCTTTCTGAGTCTGGGACCAAGTGCAGTAGCATTAGTAGGACCAGAATCAGTACTAGGAACACTGTCCTCCCCACCTTCTTCTTCTTCATTAGTCTCTAGAACTGGTGGTGTTGAAGTAACAGTTGGAGTAGGCTGTGATGCAGTAACAACTGCCTCATCAGATTCTTCAACAACTTCATCAGCATCAGAATCATACCAATCCTCATCATCACCTTCCCAAACCAGACTTGTATCAACTGGTTGTGCCCCTTTATCCCAGCTCCAGCCTTGACTCTCATCAAAGACCACATCCCTGCTCACAACCAATTTCTGTGTGTGTGGGTTGTAAAGCTTATAAGCTTTAGATTCTGATGATAATCCCAGAAAAATACAAGGCTGACTTTTAACATCCAATTTCTTTCTTTGCTGGTCAGGTATGTGAACATGACCAATGTAGCCAAATACCTTGAAATGATCAACAGATGGGGGATGACCAGTCCAGACCTCTTGAGGAGTTTTGTTCTCATGAGCAGCTGTGGGACTTCTGTTCAGAACATGAGTAGTCCACAGCACTGCTTCTGGCCAAAAACCAGCTGGAACCTTTGTGTCAGATAGCAAACACCTAACCATGTTCATTATTGCCCTATTTTTTCTTTCAGCAACACCATTTTGTTGTGGTGTCAGGGCTGCTGTCAACTGTCTTTTAATACCAGCTTCTTCACATAAGTTTTGAAACTCACCAAGCAGGAACTCACCTCCTCTATCAGTTCTTAAGCAACAAATCCCTGTGCCAACCTCTTTCTCAACTTGAGCTTTGAAGTTCTTAAACACTCCTAGAGTATCAGATTTCTGAGCCAGAAAGAAAACCCACAGCTTTCTGCTGAAATCATCAATGACAGTGAAAACATACCTCTTGCCTCCATTAGATGTAGGGGTAATTGGTCCACACAAGTCAGCATGAAGCAATTCTAACTTCTTGCTAGCTCTCCATTGGCTTCTCTTTGGAAAAGGCTTCCTGTGCTGCTTTCCAGCAAGGCAGGTAGCACATATACCAGGTGTTCCTTTCAAAACTGGCAGACCAGTCACCATGCTCTTCTTCTGTAAACCAATTAATCCTTGATAACTTATGTGACCATACCTCCTGTGCCAGAGAGTTAGAGTGTCAGCAGCTGTGATTTGAAGACACTGAAGCTCAGACTTCACTTGATCACCAGGCAGCTCACAGTGAACAACAAACATTCTATTTGTTTTCATATGAACATTCATAAGTAAGCCCTTAGTTTCATGATAAACTCGACACACATTTCCTTTGATTAAGAACTCCAAACCTTTCTCCTGTAGCTGACCAATGCTCAATAGGTTTGTTTTCAAACCAGGTACATAATATGTATCCTGAATCACCAGAGTCTGCAGATCAGTCTTCACTCTGATTGATCCTCTCCCTTTGACCTCTAACTTTGTGCCATTCCCAAGCTTCACCAAACCAGTTCCTGTGGTTTCAATTGAAGTAAACCACTCCTTATTTCCAGTCATATGATTGCTACAACCTGAGTCTAGGAACCACCAACTTTCATATCTTGACTCAGCTGCAGTTGGCTCAAGCAATGCCATGGCATAGTCAGGTTCCTCAGGTGCATCTGGCAGAAAGATCTTGGGAGTAACAGCCACTTCTGGTTCCTTCTCCTCCTCATGAATGACCATTTCATCTTCTTCTATCCAAGCCATCAGTAAAACATCATCTTTCATATCCATTGATGCTGAAAAATGAGCCTGTTGATACTGATTATTCCACTCTGGACATTCACTTCTGTAATGTCCCAGCCTGTGACACTTGTAGCACTCTACAGTGTCTCTACTCCATCCTCTTCCACCTCTACCTCTTCCTCGACCAAAGAAACCTCTACCTTGTCCTCTGCCACCCCTGCTACCACTTTCATAAGTGGTTTTCAACACCTGATCTTCCTCTACAGCAGGTTTCTTGTGGAACTTCTGCTCATGGACTAGCAGAGAGCTCTGAAGAGCATCAACAGAAAGAAGACTTATGTCTTTGGACTCCTCAATAGAGCAGACCACATAGTTAAATCTTTCAGTTAATGTCCTTAGTATTTTTTCCACAATTTTCTCATCAGGCATACTTTCACCACAGTTTCTCATAGCATTGGCAACTACCATTACTCGACCAAAATAATCAGTCACAGCCTCACCTTCCTTCATCTCAAGAATCTCAAAGCTACGTCTGAGGCTCTGAAGTTGTGCTTTCTGCACTCGAGCATTCCCTTGAAACTTCATCTTCATAGAATCCCAGAGCTCTTTAGCAGTGGCTTTGCTGGTGATTGTTTTCAGAATGGTCTTGTCTATGGAAATGAACAGGTAATTCTTGGCTTTCAAATCCCTCAATCTTGAGTCATCCAGGTTCTTGGTTTGCTCTGCAGTCAGTTCTGTCCCCTCAGCAGGTTCCTGAACCCCTGCAGTCACAACTCTCCAGTACTCCTTGGATCGAAGCAGATTCTCCATTAGCATGCTCCAGTGGTCATAATCCCCATCAAACTTAGGGATACAGACCTGAGCAAAGCTGCTATTCTCTCCCATGATTCACACTCACGATGAATCACTCTCTCTTTCCCAGAATCTGATCCTCACTTGATCTCTCGTGTTTCCCTTTTCCCTATCTGCAGTTTCCTGCAGATTTTCTCTCAATCGATGGTTACAGGTTGCTTTGTGCTCTGATACCACTATGTTAAACACAAAAGAATGCAAACTGACAGTTTATTCCATAAAGCACAAAGGAACTTATATACAGACTCAGCAATCTCGGTTTGCCACTAACCACGATCACCTAAACCTTAA